AGGTTCCACCACAGACCTGTTCCCATATATATATGTGTCTCTGGTTCCACTAGTAGTAGTCAAAATCTAGCACTCATATACATATAACAAACTTTTTCCTTGTAATTTGGCCAATTTCTTTCAGTTAAAACATATTTTAAACATGATTGGAATATTATTGTTTAAAAAGGTGTGGGGTATTTATGGCAGTGGGAAGAAAGTAGGCGTATTTACACTTGTATGCAAATTTGTCTGTCATTACGTCAAATCACACAGGTTCCTGTAAACTTTGACATCATAATTCAAAACATTTGACGTCACAAATAAAAAGTGATTGTTGCCTGAGGTCAAAAGGTGATTCGGAGTAGATCTAAGGTCATTCGGAGGCAAAATATAGCTAAATACCAAAAGTGTAAATACGTTTATAGAGTCAATGTATAGATATTGACACTTTTTTCTTCCCATTGCCCATATTTGATTAATATTGATAGAATGCCTAGTGCATGTGGGAGACATCAAATGCAATAATCAACAAGTTTAGGAAGAGTGGCAGAGTGATCATTTTCGGGACGTCAGAATCGGGCCTTTATTATTGCGGGAATTCATGATTCTGCCTTTAGCTTACACCAATCGAGACTGGGAATTGACTGATTAATTTTTCAGGATCTGGGAAAGAATACTTTTATTTTTTTTTTGAATTTGGGATGACGCCCCCTCTTACTGTCCCTCAAGGAATAGCTCATTATCATATAATGGATTTTGCTATCAAAATCCTTTCTCCTTTTGACAGTTATGAAAAGAAATTCAAGTTTCTTCATAAACATTTGGAAGTCCAGTCTAAAACTTTACAGGCATGATAATGAAACATTAACATGATTAAAATTATTTCTGTGTCCAAAATTTGAACTTTTATCCTGATTTTGGGTGAATTATTTTTAAAGGTAAAAGTGAAAAGTTTTTGCGCAATTGTATTCAGCAATACATGTACTTCCTTATTATGTTTGTAAAGTTTCAAAATTGCACTTCCGAAAACATTAGTTAACACTCAAACCCAATCATTTGAAAGCCACCATTGTATAAGACCTAAACATGTAAGGAGCTTTAGGACCAGAAGGGACCTTAGAAAATAGTCCGAATTTAACTTTGCCTGAGGGTGTTGGAACTTTATATAGTTTACTCATATTTCATTGTTTATCAATGGAAAATTTAAGAAAAGTTTGTTAGAAATCATGTCAGTACTGAAGCACTGACTAAGAAGAAACCTTGAATGGCCAAATTCATCTTGGATCAACTTTTCCTGAGGGATATTAATGTATGAATAATCTATAATTACAGCTATATTCAGACATAATGAAAAAACCTAAAGTTCAGCTTTACTTTTGCTGGAAATCTGGTGTTATACATCATTTTTTATACGACCGCAAAAAAATTTTGAGGTCGTATATTGGTATGACGTTGGCGTCGTCGTCGTCGTCGTCGTCCGAAAACACAATGGTTTTCGCACTCTAACTTTAGTTTAAGTGAATGGATCTCTATGAAATTTTACCATAAGGTTCAATACCACAATAGGAAGGTGGGGATTGATTTTGGGGGTTATGGTACCAACAGTTAAGGAATTAGGGGCCAAAAAGGGGCCGAAAATAAGCATTTTTGTAACTTCCAGACATAACTTGTGTGTTAGCATATGGATCTCTTTGACATTGTACCACAAGATTCCATATCTCAAAGGGTCAATGCTGGGATTGATTTTGGGGTTAATTGCCTCAAAATTTTAGGAATAAGGGGCCAAAAGGGGGCAAAAAACAAGCATTTTTCTAGTTTCATGACAATAACTTGTGTGTAAGTGTATGGATCTTTCTGAAATTTTACTACAAGGTTCCATTTCACAAAGGGAAAGCTGGAATTGAGTGTTGTGGTAATTGCCCAAAACGTTTAGTAGTAAGGGGCCTAAAAAGGGGTTTAAAATAAGCATTTTTTAGTTTCTAGACAATAACTTGTGTTCAAGTGTATGGATCTCTCTAAAATTGTATTACAAGGTACCATACCACAAAGGCAAGGCTGTTATTGAGCTTGGTTTGGGGGGAAAGGGGGGTGGGGATGATGAATCATAAGGGGGGCGGGGTCAAAAAAGGGGTAATTTTTTTTTTTCCTTTTTTTTTTGTTTAAAATTAACATAATAAGTTAGTTATTATTTATCACGAAGAGAAAGTAGGAATTGAGTTTTGGGGTTAATTGCTCAAACATTTATGAATAAGGGGCCAAATATTGGTCAAAAATAAGGATTTTTTTAGTTTGCAACAAAAACTTGTGTTCAAGTGTATGGATCTCTGTGAAATTGTATTGCAATGTACCATACCACAAATTGAAGGTTGTGATTGAGGTGGGGGATGATGAATCAAAAGGGGGTTGAAAAAATGTGTGGGAGGTAGGATTTTTTTTTTTTTCCTTTTTTTTTTCTTTAAAATTTTCCATTTAAAGATGGTTGTTTCAGATTTATATATGAAAGAAAATAATAATGATACGGTTATATATCATGAGGAATTGAAATTTAAAATTATGTATATTGGAAATTTAAGTTACATTGGAAAGTAATAATTGGCTTTGGGGGGGGGGGGGGGGGGGGAGGGGGGGATGGTTATGGCTCTAATGTTTAAGGAATAAGGGGAAAAAAGGTTAAAAAACAAGGGTTTCCATTTTAATAGACAAATAATTGAGTAAAGAACATTATTTAAAAGCAGTGTAAGGTTGGTAATTCAAACTCATTTAAATATCTCATCTACACTGCTTTTAAATTATGTAAATTGGAAATTTGCCAATAACTTTATTGTTAATAAATGCATTGGAAATTTGCCAACAATTTTAGTGTAATAAACTTCATTGGAAATTTGCCAATATAAAATTTTGCTGATGAAGGTTTTTTGTTTACCTTTAGCCTTGACTATGAAGTCATTTTCTACTTTTATAGCCTTATGATGTAGTTGAATTATTTAATACTTTTATGATGTGTTTAAATGGGGTTTTATCATGTTTGTTTATGGTTGCAAATTTATTGTTTTAGTATAATAAACTCTATTTAAAATTTGCCAATAAAAAAAATTTTTGTTTATTTTTAGCTATGATTATGATGTCATTTTCTATTTTACTTTTATGGTTGCAAAGAAATTTTTATTTTTAGATATTACTGTTAAATGATGCTGATTAAGGTTTTTGCTATGTTTAGCCATGACTATGATGTCATTTTCTATTTTAATATCTGTTATGATGTATTTAAATTGGCTTTTATGGTTACAAAGGAATTTTATTTTTAGATATTACTATAAAATGTTGCTGATGCTGATTAAGGATTTTGTTTATTTTTAGCCATGACTATGATGTCATTTTCTATTTTAATACCTTTATGATGTAATTTCCATTTTTAGATATTACTGTTAAATGATGCTGATTAAGGGTTTTTTGCTATGTTTAGCCATGACTATGGTGTCATTTTCTATTTTAATATCTTTATGAAGTATTTAAATGGGCTTTTATGATTACAAAGGAATTTTATTTTTAGATATTACTTTAAATGTTGCTGATTAAGGATTTTTGTTTATTTTTAGCCATGACTATGATGTCACTTTCTATTTTAATACCTTTATGATGTATTTAAATGGGCTCCCATGTATTTAGATTTTTGATTATTTATACATGTTACCAAATTGGTCCACATTGAACAAAAACGGTCCAAATTTCAACTTTATTACATTACATCAAACATTGAATTCTACATATTCTTTGATATATTGAAATTAACAAACAATTTAGTTTATGGATATTCCACCATAATAGGTAAATTAAATTTTTTCCAGTTCTTACACCACATTCATCCTGTGTCAGAAACCTATGCTGTGTCAAATATTTAATGACAATCCAAAGTCATAGCTGTATCAAGCTTGAATTTTGTGTCCATACTTGCCCCAACTGTTCAGGGTTCGACCTCTGCGGTCGTATCAAGCTGCGCCCCAGCGAAGCATTTTATTGTAAATTAGACTCTGATATAAACCAAATTGTAAATTATGAAGTTAAAACAAAAAAAAAAAAGATTTGTTTAATTTGGGTTGCCAGACCTGAACTTTATTTTCTATATCTGTGCAAAAGACCATTTAGTCTGAAATTAAAATTATGTATTATTGTTAATAAAAAAAAATCCCTAACAGCACTATCAATATCCTTGAAGATTACTCTTAAAATGTCTAGATTCTCAACAACTTTTCAAGTTTGGAATTCAAACATAGCTTTTATAGCTGACTATGGGGTATGGGTTTTACTCATTGTTAAAGGCCATAAAGTGACCTATAGTTGTTAGTTTCTGTGTCTTTTGGTCTCTTGTGGAGAGTTGTCTCATTGCCAATCAATCTACATCGTCTTATTTTTATATTTAATAGCATTATTCTTAATTCTCATTTTTGTCTTGTGGCGTTGCCTCAACAAAGTCACCAATGTGAGACTTAGACATGCTGTTTCTTCTTGTGTTGGAGGCAGTGGCAACAGTTTATTAAAGTTTGTGATTAGGTCATTTTAAAGAGAACCACTAATGGTACTTACCTGATATTTGGTATACAGTTATACAAGCAATGACACATTTACATGAAGATTATTTGGCCCTAAGTCATGGTCTATTGCCTTTAAAACTTTCGTGCAATCTACATGTTAAAGTTTGTGATTAAGTCAGTTTATTGGGAATCACTATGATAAATCAATGGTAATTAGTTTGCAGTTGTATTTGTATTGTCACATCTCATTTCAATGGAGATTATTTGTTCCTGCACCTTCAGTCATGGTTCATTGACTCTGAATGTTTTGCATGCTTTACATGTTAAAGTATTGCCATTTTAATTTCAACATACATGGAAATAACCTACAGGTGAGCCATATCTTTGCATTGACAGTATATAAAAAATATTACAGGGTTAAATAGTAACTTTTTTTCATAAAAGACAAACAGAACAAAAATGTGATGTACTAATTATGTGATTTTACAGATATTTAACAGAAAAGATGGAAAAGGAACTCCTCCACTGGTAGCAGCTGTTCAACATGGACACATAGATATATGTCATTTATTGATAGATGGTGGTTGTGACATCAATGCTTATGATAGTAAACTCCAGAGAAATGCTTTACATTATGCTGTTATAGCCAAAAGATTTGATTTATTTGAATTACTGTTAAAGTAAGTAAAAATGCCACATGTTCATGAAGTTTGACAAGGATAATAGAGATCCTCACTCCCAAAACATGAAAAAGTACCAGTAGTTCACAAGTAGTTATATGCAATATAACTTTTTTGTGTGCTATGGTTCGATGTTTGTGTTGCATATGTTATGGTATGTGTGTGTGTTGTTTGCATTGCCATCCATCTGTACACACAAAATTTTGTTTACAATTAATTTTATAAAAGTAGACCAATGCCATGTTTCTCAGCACAAAACAAAGATTGACTTTAAATAGCCATGGTCTTATCAAAAAAGATAACCAGAGCCTTTAGTTTACTAATTGTACATGAAATTGTTTAAAGTCATATATTAAAGTAATTTGGCATGTACTTAATATAAACCATTATATTTTTGAAGCTGATTTACTAAGTCAATAAAATGTCTAATAATTATAGACCTTATACTTTCACTAAAATTTAAACTTTTTGAACTTAAGTGAGATACCTCCTGACAAATGTTATTTGTGCATATATTTATACACATTACCATCCGTACCATTAACAGCAAACTCTCACTGTTCCATTTTTATATATGTAGAATAATGAAACTTTGTTTAAAATGATTTAGTATTAAGATAATATTAATTGCAGTTTTATTCAGGTTAATTTAAGGTAATTTAGAAAATGAATAGGCATCATTGTCAAAATCAACAAGGATGAATTGCACAATACAATTACTACTTTGATTTATTTAAATCTACTGATTAAAGTTGATGAATTTTAAATATTTTATTAAAAATAGTCCTGAAAGGTAATATAATTCAAACAAGAATGTTTGCATAGCTTTGATGGTTTATTAATTCGCCTTTGGTTTCCTGTTATTTCCAGAAGGATAAGTTTGATGAAAAAAATATTGGCAGATGAACAACACAAGGTCAGTGTGTTGTTGGAATTTGTTCCAAATTTGCATTACATGTTTAAAAGGTTCTAAATAAATGTACATGCTGTGGTTATACACTTATTTCAATGGATATACCCCAGTAGATGAATTATGATTATAAACAGTTATAGCAATCAGAAGAGATCTATACATATATTCGATTATGTTCCATAATTTGATGAGTTTGTTATCATTGGAACAAGTTTTAAAGGATTTTTGCTCCTAAGTGAATTAAGAACGTTCCATGCTAACTGACTGGGTCCTTTATGATAAATATCATTCTCTAGATGGTTGCTGTCTCATTGACATCTCCTTTTATTCATATGCTAGCTCTCTTACCCTTTAGTTGACATGAAATAATAAATAGTACCTCTCTTGGCAATAAGTTGAGATGAAATGATACATACTTATCAATTATGGACTTTTGACAGGGTCAATGTGTTTTATATAGACTTGTTCGGATTATATTGACTGAGGACAAGGTCCAATATAACTGAGTGAAAGTCCTTAATTTCTATATTACATATGTAAGTAGTATATTATAGAAATGGGCCATGATCAGTGGTGGATCCAGAAATTTTCATAAGTGGGGGCCCACTGACTGCCTAAGAGGGGGCCTGCTCCAGTCATGCTTCAGTGATTCCCTATGTAATCAACCAAATTTTTCCCTCAAAAGGGGGGGGGGGGGGGCTACCCCCCACCCCCTAAATCCGCCTCTGATGATTGTTGTCTAGCAGAGGGTAATTTCATACTGGAATGGCGATATAAAGTTAGAAGTATAGCATCAATATATATATATAAATAGAAAAATACCATCCATATACTTAAATACCCTTTGAATCATGTAATCATAATAACCAATGAAAAAAGAAGAATGCTACACCATATGTAATATTACCTTATATATTAATGTTTTTTAAGTGTTATTTGTAGATCTTTGATAGTCTCTTTTAGATTTATCCAAGCTGTATGTGAAGAAATCAGTACAGTATTAAACTCCTCTAAATTAGAATTAATCTTATATATCTTTGTTACATATATATGTGAAAATCATTAATATCTTTAGAAAGTATCTAACAAATAAACATTATTGATGTAACATTTCATTTTCCTCTTTGTACATAGTATAACTTTGGTGATAGTATAATCAAGATCATAATAAGGACACTGTAGATATTCAGTTGATTTTCATTTGGTCTTTTACTTGAAGTATTATGGTATACCGTTGTCCGTCCATCGTTAACATGTCGGACAATAACTCAAAAACACTTTAATCAAATTGCATGAAACTTTGGTGAATTGTTAATATCTATTGATGTGAGCTCCCTTTCGATTTTTATAAATTTTAGATTTTATGTTTCCAAGTTATGGGATTTAATTCATAAAAAAGGGTGATTTTCCAGTTTTCGGACAATAACTTTGGAGGCTGTTTTATATCTATTAAAATAACCTCCCTTTAGCTTTTGTCGAGCCTGCGATTTTTGTCGCAGAAAGCTCGACATAGGGATAGTGATCCGGTGGCGGCGGCGGCAGCGTTAGCTAACTTCTTAAAAGCTTTATATTTAAGAAGGTGGAAGACCTGGATGCTTCATACTTTGTATATGGATGCCTCATGTTACGAAGTTTCCGTCAGTCACATGTCCAATGTCCTTGACCTCATTTTCATGGTTCAGTGACTACTTGAAAAAAAAGTTAACGTTTTTTGTAATGTTAAATTCTCTCTTATTATAAGTAGTAGGATAACTATATTTGGTATGTGCGTACCTTGCAAGGTCCTCATGCCCGTCAGACAGTTTTCACTTGACCTCGACCTCATTTCATGGATCAGTGAACAAGGTTAAGTTCTGTTGGTCAAGTCCATATCTCAGATACTATAAGCAATAGGTCTAGTATATTCCGTGTATGGAAGGACTGTAAGGTGTACATGTCCAACTGGCAGGTGTCATCTGACCTTGACCTCATTTTCATGGTTCAGTGGTTATAGTTAAGTTTTTGTGTTTTGGCCTGTTTTTCGTATACTGTATGCAATAGGTCTACTATATTTGGTGTATGGAATGATTGTAAGGTGTACATGTCTAGCTGGCAGGTGTCATCTGACCTTGACCTCGTTTTCATGGTTCAGTGGTCAAAGTTAAGTTTTTGAGTTTTGGTCTTTTTTTTCTAATACTATATGCCATAGGTCAACTATATTTGGTGTATGGAAATATTTTATGATCTATATGTCAGTCACGCAGGTTTTATATGATCTTGACCTCATTTTCACGGTTCATTGCTCAGTGTTAAGTTTTTGTGTTTTGGTCTGTTTTTCTTAAACTATAAGCAATAGGTCAACTATATTTGTTGTATGGAAGAATTGTTAACTGTACATGTCTGCCTGGCACGTTTCATCTGACCTTGACCTCATTTTCATGGTTCATTGGTCAATGTTTAGTTTTCTTGGTTAATGTTAAGTTTAGGTGACAGTTGTAATAAAGCTTTATATTTAGGACTATCAACATAATATCAATGATTAGAAAAGAAGGCGAGACATTTCAGCGTGTGCACTCTTGTTTTATACAAATTTCTGATATGACAATGAGGAGTTATGGAACTTTATTATTTAAAAAAGCGACGGGGGTATCATGTGCTCATGGCGCAGCTCTTTATTGTATGTTGTTACAGTATTACAATTATATCCATTAATCCAATTAGTTTTCTTATCTCTTTTTATAAGACTTTTATACAAACAGCTTACAATGATTTTTTTTGCAATAAGATCTACAGTATAGTGTCAATATTAATTTTTAAACGTACTTTTGCATAGTCTAATACAGTTTCTTTGATTTATGCTATTGTAAACCAACTTATTTACGAATTTAGTCTTTTCTATCCCACTAAGCGACGATTTATTTTTGTGATTTTCACATTGATGAGATCTATTTATTTATTTAAGGGAATACTCATATTTGTGAAGATTCATATTTGCATTATTTTTCAATTTGTGAAAATAAATCACTCTTGAAAATTAGTTGGATTACAGTAATCTGTTGTTGGAATCTTTGATGCTGGAGATGATTTTGATTTATCATATTGATTTTGAAAATGTTGTTTAACAGTTTCAAGAAGCTTCCATCAAATTATAATATGCTGCATGCAAGTTATATGTAATGTTTGTCATTCTGATAGGTAGGCTGGATAGCTAATAAAAATGTGCATTAATTTACATGCGAGCTCTTGATGCTGTTGGTACAGGAGACATACTCTGAAGTGACATTCAATAACCTAAACTATTGCTATACTTTAAGTGAAATCACACCTGAAAGAATTAAATGGTGTCCGTGAAAATTGTTTAATTAATGGTATTTAACAGGAACCCCTGCTTAATACCTATTACCAATATGGAAGATAAAAATCAAACAATTAAATATTTGACTTATAACAAGACCTTTTAATACCAAAGATTGATTTTCACATATCTCTTTGAATAGAAGGACGAAATGTATAGGTCTTCAGCTAAGTGAAACTTCCGATAATGATAATTCACCTATGATTATACCGATGTATTTTAAAACCAGTCAGCTGTATTAAATCTGTGTTAAATGGCACAGTTTAAACACTCGATGCTTGACAGTCTATATTAACTGTTATGTTTTTGTCATAACATTGAAAATATGGACGTCGAAATGTACATTACAATAAGAAAAAAATGTGACTATAAACTTCTGTTTTATAACTGAATGGGATTGCTATGAATTATATATGAACTCAGAAGGTAAGCTGTAAATGATTTATTGATAATATTGAAGATCTCTATGTAGAGAGTACATGTTTTAATATCAAGTTGAGAGATTGGTTTTAAGCCAATTTGAAGAATAATATTTTAGACCTACACATTACAAATATAACTTCATAAGACTATTATTGATATAATCTTATCCATTTAAATTAACCACTTGGTCACTGAGTTTAAAGTTGAAGCTTGTAAATGTCTAGTGTCTTTGATCATAAACAAATCAGTGTATGGTAACAGAGAGAAATATTTATTAGATGCAATCAAACTTAGAATAAGGCAGCTATTGTTATAATGTCTAGAAATTTAAATTTAAAAGAATTATGAAAGTGAAAAATCTATTAAAATGAGAAATTTAAACACAGGTAGGTCATTATCCCTTGAAAAGTGAAATGACTAATTTAAATCACATTTCCAATTATTAAAGCATGTTTTCTGTTGGCTGAATCTGGTTAGATAGATGCTTTGTTTAAACTTGCATATTTTATGCATTAATTTGCTTTATGGTCTTATTATGATAATAATTTAGGTAAAAAGTATGCTGTAGAAACAATTTTTTAATTAAAATCACTATGATGTTATCAATAAAGTTTTAAATATTTATACTAGGATTATATTTATGAGATATCACTGCTTCCCCTTCCGTGTAAATTGATATTTTCCTCATCAGAATGTATGATTAAATTAGAACACATTTGAATACTCACTTTCATTGGACAATAATTTCTTACAGGAATATGATATGATAAATGAAAGTTTCCTAAGAACAAAGAAATTAATTAAAATTTAATCATTATTTCTGTTCGTTTTGCTTGATAGGTACCTAACAATTGTAACCTAACTATAACACTATGATAACAGATATCTTTCATTCTATTGTTCATTTTAAACGTTTCATTTAGTGTACAGTGAAAGTCTAATGTAAAATCTAACTACAAAAAGTATACCTCTGTCGGCTGTCAATATAAAGTTGACATTACAAGTTTCTAGTTTCTTTCATTAAGGTAGTGTGCTATACACAAATATGGTAATAAGGTTTGATTTATCAAGATGTACACAACAAAGATGTTTATATGACTACCCTCTTTTGAGTCTTTGATTTCATTCTTGAGATGTGCGTTTTAAACATTTGAGTTTCATACAATCGGTTCCTTTAGATGTTCATTTCAAACTAGTGTTTTTACCAATGTTTTACATATAAATAAAGGAGACTGGCAATTTTATATGGCAGCTAAATTTTTTTCATGCATAAAAAATTATAATCTTGATAGGACAAGATACATGTAAATAGAAAAATTAATGAATAAAAGTAAATTGTATTGTTTGAAAAGTAATGAGAAAGAAAGTTGTTAAAAGTTTCAAAATTTTGGGAAATACTGAAGGTCAGGAAAATGTCTGAAAAGAAAAATTATGATTTAAAAAAAAATTGTTAAAAGTATGGCAAGTATGGATATGTATTTGATGGCCAACAAAAGTGTTTAATCCTAACTATTTCCAAGTCTTTTTATTAATAAATAACTAAGATATATTCTATTTTGATTGGGATTTGGTATTAAAGATTGGTAACTTTAAAAAATAGAACATAAGTCTAGCAAATATTATAAAAATATTCTTCTATATTTAGACACAAGCCAAACTTAGACCATTGTGATCATAAGGGGAGGACAATATTCCATCGTGTTTGTGCCATCCAGGAACCAAAGTATTTGAAGAAATTATTTCACAGTGGATTCAATATCACAACATCACTGATGGATCAGGAGACGGATGATGGTCTTACTCCTGTTATTATATCTTGTCAGAATGGAAATGCTGAACAACTAAAAGAACTGCTAGAAAATGGGGTTTGTCTTTCTTTATCTTACAAGGATGTGTGATTATATTATTTTCAGTAACTTTAAGAATGTAAAAATATCTTACCAAATTTAACTGAAAAGATGGCCTGAGGATTAGAAAATCCAAACAAGATGTACTTATTGAAATACAGCAGACGGGAGGCGACTGCCAATAATTTCCGTGCAATAACTTATGAACTGTTCAACCAATACTTTTCAAATTTTAGTATGTTGTCACTGATGAAAAAATGGAGGTTAGGTTATATGATCTTCTATATTGATAATTTTCACTGGTACCGTTAAGGAGTTATGGTCCTTGATAGATTGAAAAATGGCACTTTATGTCACTTCCATGCAAAAACTTACGAAGTGTTCGACCGATGCTTTTCAGATTTTAATATGCTGTTACTAGTGACAAAACGGATATCCAATTCGATATTGACTATTTTCACTTTAGATTCAGGAAATATGTTCCACGATAGATTGGAAAAAAGGCATGAACTTGGCAGATCAAACAAACCTTATAAAAGCGATTTATTAGAATAGATCCATTTCATTCAAGCTAGCTGCCCTCTTAAATTCAATAGTGGTTACCTTCAAAGTGCAAATAACCAGGTTTCAGTTTTTTTATAAGAGAAGTGCCACTTATTAGACATGTTAGATGGCACATACATACTATTTACTTTTTACATAGTTTGCTTTTAATTGTAATAATTTGAAAGAACATTTGTGATTGCAGTTAATTAATGAAAGAAGGAAGACATTAAAAAGAAATAAACAGTTTAAGAAATACTTTGAAAAGTGCATGTATTGAGTTCTAAATGATTACAGGAAGTTGTTCGATTGATAATATTGATCTGCCTTGAACTTTCTTAGTTTATGTCTTTATACATCCTAAATAATTACAGAATCGCTGTTGCTTTTCTTGACAATTTTACATGTTACATGACATTATGAATGGTAATGTAGGGTATACATGGATGAGACAGCAACCCTATGACACAAGAATCAGAAGACATCTAGATCGCAACCCTTTGTTGTACAATATGTCAAGCTCTAAATCTAAAGCCACTTATCTAAAAACAATGACATTAAGCAGTGATTATCAAAGATCTTCTATCACCACTTAATTAGTTCTCCAAATAACCGAAAAAATTTGAAAATATGACATATGACTTCCAACAGGCAACTGAATATGTGGTGTGGTTAAACTAGGTTTTTGAGTTTTCATTTTTTTTTTTATTATAGTAGCTGTGGGCAGCTATATCTGGCATAGAACATTTATGCTATTTACATAATTTTAAAACTTGTTATTTCTGTTCCCAAGTGATAGTAGCAATATCCATAAAACAAGAGTCCATTGCCTGAAAAAAAAGATAAATAATTTTGTACCTAAATCCTTTTAAGAACCGTCAAAATCATTTTATTTTTACCTGCAGGTAGGTGAAGAATGGCATACATATTTCAACGTCCTTTAAATAAGAGTGATTTACAGGACTTTTTACCACCATCAAAACTATTTTAGTGAGTGTATGTTTAACAGACAATTATTTCTCTTCTAGGCTTCAGTTAAAACTACAGACAAAACTGGAAAGAATGCATTACATTACTGTGCCGATAACTTAGAGACACAATGTGCTGAAATGTTACTGATGAGGGAGGAGTCTCTCATACATGTACAAGATGAACAGGGATTCACTCCCCTTCATATGGCAGTTATTGGTGGAAATGTACCATTATTGAAGCTGCTCGTTAGAAAAGGAGCAGATGTAGATATTTTAGATGCTGACGGCCATACCCCATCACACTGGGCTACTGGTAGGTTCATTTGAATGTAGGAATCTGTGGATTGTACATTTCACATTTATTGTCATGTAAATAATGTTATAATTTTAAAAAACAAATCATGAATCAGTAAGAACTTCACAATGCAAAATTCTACTTCTTTTAAGCTTCCTTGGCAAAAATGGCTTTTATTAACTATTGCCATCACTTGATGTCCATCATCAATTATTATATTATTAAATTATTTTTCAGAAATAGTTTTATGAAATAACAGACACATGACAGAGCAGATTGGCACTAAGCATGGCAAAACAAAATTCTTTAGCTGTCTTAGTTTTAAAAGTATATATGATTTTCCAAAGAACCAACCAAAATGACCGCCAAGTAGAACCTAGGAGTAAAATTGATAGATATATAGTTTTACAGCTAGTCTGTAAATAGTTAGCTGATTTTTAGTTCCAGGTACATGTATATACATGTGTGAAAGTTAGTAACAGGCTCCATTACCTATTTCTGCCTTAACTATTGCCCATGGACAGATTTCTTGTCCTATGTCAGTCCTCCTTTGAGTTTTTTTGCTGATACTTGGTATATATTAATGAGTAGGATACTTTTTTGTAACTATGACCTTAGAATTTGGAGAATATTGCATGAAAATGGCAGCTAGCTTCGTGTCCAGTTTGTTTCAATTATTCAATTCTCATCAAAACAACAGTTTTTGTTGAAGTTTCAGCCATTCTTGTAGATATTGTTCTGATATTTGGTAAATTGTGTTTTGAGAATTTATATATCTCATATGATTTTTGACTTGATTAAGGCCCTTGGACAATTCTATTTGAAAATATTAATTTTGTTCTGACCCATTTTCAGCATTTCAAGCAGATTAACACCTGATTTTATTGTGTATTAATGTTTAATGAGTTTTTACAGATCCTATGAACTAATAACTCCTATCCGATTTTGGTCTTAATAGTGTTTCAAAATGGTTTTATTATACCCCACTGTAAGAGTGGGCTCCTAGAGTGGGTGCTATATATTGCATTTATCTTTTTTTATTACCAAATATTTATAAATCATTTTCCTCAAGAACTATACTGAACAGAATGACTTCATATTGTTCAGCAGCTTGACAGGGGTGAGTTATAATGGGTGAGCACTCTGGATCTCTCAGGCACGTACTTCCTGTTTACCTGCCTGAAATGGTTGCAAAGAACATACGGTTTTTTTTATGGAAAATTATTAATATGTGATAAAGGTAGATCATTTGTGAAGCTTCTCTTTGTATCAACTCAAGCTTCACTTGCTCTTTGTATTAACTCAAGCTTGACCTGCTATTCGTATCAGTTCAAGCTTGACCTGCTCCTCGTATCAATTCAAGCGCGACCTGCTCTTTGAATCAATTCAAGCTTGACCTGCTCTTTGTATCAATTCAAGCTTGACCTGCTCTTCGTATCAATTCAAGCTTAATCTGCTCTTTGTATCAATTCAAGCTTGACCTCCTCTTCATATCAATTCAAGCTTGACCTGAATGCACTGTTTTATTGTAAGGTGAGAGATGTAGGCTCTTTGGAGCCTCAAGTTATTAATTCCTGACTGCTTTAGTGTGACTTTTTACTTGGAACATTTACAACCCTTCAATATTTGTATGTTATCCAACAGCAAACTACATTTATCCCATTATTCAACACAAATTTGTTTTGTATTAATATTTAATAACAAAATTAATATACGATGGTATTCATGTGATGAACTGTGCATGAAAATAAAACTATACAAAAGCTAGAGATAATTCTAGATACTAATAAACACATTTGAACACAAAAACTTCTGTCATGCATACTTGCCAACATATTTTCTGAAGAAAATGTGCATATACTTTTAGTTTCAGGCAATGGTTTGGAAAAGAATTTGTTATGTATAAAAAGTCCCATCCATTTGAAAATGGAAAATTAACATTATGTTTTTAGAATTTTATGTATACTTAAAATTAATTTAATCCTTTTAATCAGTAAGTGAATAATTTTTAGAGAAGACATGAATCTATAATTCTTTTCTTCTACTAGTTGAATAAAAATCTGTTTGTTAATATCATCAAATAATTTTACTATTGAGTTAGGTCAGTTCTCATGGTTATTTACTGACAGGATTCCTATTAATGCTTTCAGATTTTGTCTTGTCTGCCAGAATGTAGTCTTAGGGACATGTATAACTATTTATATAAAGCTTTATATTACAAAAGGTAGAAGACTTGGATACATTATTTCTAGTATACTGTTGCCTTATATTGTAAAGTTTCTGTTTGGCATATGTCATTTGTCATTGACCTCATTTCATGGTTCAGCTTAAAAACTGTTCAGTTTTATAAAGACATGTTTTTTTTCTCACTAATCGTGAATAATATGACCACTATACTGGTATCAATGCAAGGTATACATACCTGTCTGACAGGGTTCACCTAATCTTGATGATATTTCAAAGATCAGTGATGAACATTATTTTTTCAAGGTTAGGTCAGTTTCTCAGTTACTACAATGAGTAAGCAATAGTTCAGCTATATTTGGTGAACTATGGAATGATTGTAAGATGTACATTTCCATCTGGCATAGTTCATATAACCTTGAACTTGTTTTCACAGTTCATTTGGTCAATATTAAGTTTTCCTGGTAAGGTCTGTTTTGCAGATTCTATAAGGAATAGGTCAGCTAAGTTGTTCTTGTCAGTCTGGCAGGCTTCATCAAATATTAACCTTATTTTCATTGATAATTGATAATGATAACTGTATTAAGACCTGATCTTAAAGTCTATCAGCAAAAATTCAAACATGAACAGTAATGTAAACATATCAGCATGTGTTCTCTTATTCTTGGTTAAATAAATTTTGAGTCATGATAAATAAGACAGAGTGTATGGTCTCCAGATACAATTATATTCTGGTCATTAAAGAAGCAAAGATACTCTAGAAATATTTCCCATTCAAATTGTGTTTTTTGTCTCGTCTGTGATGAAAGTCGCAGAAGGCGAGACAATGGTGTTGCTTTTCCCGTGACAACGGCGTCAACAATTGTTAAGTTTTTTGCTCAAGTTAGTTTGATAGGAACTGCTTGTGATAGATCAATGATATTTTCTATAAAGTTGCATTACTATCAGTACACATTAGTTTGATGACTATTTCGAAGCCCTGTCCCCTAGGTCAAGGTCCAACAACTTTGAATTAATTATCAATGTTGCTGTCCATTAGATTGTCTTTTTCTGAATTTTCTGCCGACAGGCGATACCTAGCAGCAAAGTTTATTTGGGAAAGATTTGATACAAACCTTGTACATCTTGCAAAGAAATATTTTCTCAATGTCCACCATATTGATGTTTACTTTATTAGTGAAAGGGGATCTATTCTTTCAAAATGATACAAGAAAGTCTGAAATGAAACTGATATTCTTTTATGTATTTTTTTTTTTTTTGAGAAAAAAGAAAAACATATTACAAAGTTATGATAGCAGTGTCTTTGGTACATAAAAACATATTTGTACTGTAAGCTACTTTCTTATACCATTAATCAAACCGAGAGAAAAATTATGTTGATTTGGTGCATTTAAGTAAATTATTACCATCCGACAGGTCAATTTTGATCCAATTTCTTATTTCAACTTCAAAGTGTGGGGTCTTTCTGTTGTGAGTAATTGATTTAAATTACAATGCACACAAATAGAATAAGTAAATTTCAGGTTATTAACTAGTCCAATAGATTTTTTTAACGTTGATGAGGGCAAAAACTTGTATTTAATCATATCATTAGCATTAGAAATTGCAGGAACCTGCATTTAAAATTGAAAATGTTGGCATATATGTATTCACAAATTGCATGTTTTCACAAGAATTAACAAATAAATTGCATTCTTAAGGTAATCATCTTGATGGAGTTAAAGGTAAGATCAACGATTTCCTCTCTCTGATTTCACACCTTATGCAAAATTGTAATGTCTGATTGTTCTATATTGATTATTTTTATAAGATACTATCGTTATAACATGTAACTAGGTGTGCAAAGTCCCTCAAGATGCCATGTTGATAATTTTAAAAGTGACTTGAGATTTGAAGATTTTCTGAATAAGCATTACAAAGTCTGAATCAACTTTTCAATTTAGCTAATATCAATTGATCTTTTTTAAGTATCCAATCTAAAAAATGTAAATTTACTTACAGTATAGGTTGTTAATTAAGACATGGGAAATTATTAATGCTTAGAGCTTGGATATATAGGGAAAAGAAAAAGGAATGTAATAAAAAAGTATATTTGTGACAAGAAGAAGGAGTAGTAGTAAAACAAGCTTTAATTATGCAGTTAGAGGGGGTTATAAAGTAGTAAGTTCATGGGTGGAAATTCTGGTTAATTCAAACTTGCAATGTTTACCTTCCAAAATTGTCTCATGGACACAAAATTGTTAAGTTTCAATAATGAAGTCATTATGATGTCATAAGTATATACTTTAAATCAGTAAAAGGGTATTTATGGCCAAAATTCATTTATTTTCTTTGTCTGTTAATGATATAAATATGGTTTTTGGGGACTGTCTTGAAATCTATACTGAGGAGGTCTTTAGATTCAAACAACTATAACTGACAATCAGACATTACAAATTTTCAGGCTTTTATTGGGTCTTTTCTATTTATAGCATTTTATTTAATGTAGTCAGAATTTATTGTATAATTATTTTATCATTTTTTATTCACTATTTAGTTCCTAGATGGTTTAGAATATGTGTATGTAAATAATCAGCAGTATTTGTAGCTTTTCATTTATTACTTGTTGTAATGTCTTTAAAACACATCTTCTGGTAAATCTGTATACCAAATATGAATGAAGAGTGCAAATTAAGTTGACAAAATATGAGACACATATAATGTATTGTCATGAGTGGTATTGGTAAATGTTTGGTCACATATGGTGTTTTTTACACATTATTTTGGTGTTGTAAATAATATAGATTTAAAAGAGTTGATCATTAAAACATTACAAAGTAACAAAATGCTGGAGTAACTATTATTTTAAAAAACAGGACTATGAAATTATTATTTTTATAATTGTATGATATTCTAATTTTTAATTTTTTTTTTGTAATTGCTCTTGCTATAACTTTGTCTTAGGATTTTTATGCTGCTGTCTTGTTCTGATAGCATGTTTAGTACAGAAAAGTGCAAGTCAAAGAGGTTGACCCCTTTGAAGGAGATATATTTTTAACCAAATTGCTATTGGCATTCTCATACTAAAGTTTGAGTAGAAACAGTTTAAATGTCTTATGCATTCAGAGTTTGAATGTCCCTTTGGTATCTGTCGCCTCTCTTTTAATATGTATATACACAGTAACAATGTATTCAGACAATATTTAATCATCAGATAAAAGAATATTAAATGTTATGATCAATTAACTTTGAAATTTATAAGAGGTCATTGACTGTAGTTGAATCTATATACAACTTGATCTTTTACTCAGGCTTGTTAGTTAGCAGTACTTCCTCAAAGCAGAACGGATATATACTCAAATTTAGAAAACTGTTAAAGTAAGCCCCCTTTCCAGGTTTTTGATTTGAGCTGACATTTTTTATGACTCCCAGTAATTGTCAGGTACTTGTTTTTTGGACTTGTTTGTCTTTTCTTCATCTCATTTTTTTGCCATGGCAACTCTCTCAATTTACAAGTTTTGAATGTCTCACTGGTATCTTCTGCCTTTCTTTTTTTTAACCAATATTTATCATTCTAAAATACAGTAAAGTTTTATTTAATTGTGCCTGCTGATATTAGCAACCTTCTATTTTGTATGAAGTTTCCTAATGATAGGATATAAATAACTTTGATTTTATTGCTTACAACCTATTTTTACTGGAATTATGATCTTAGGAAATGAAATTATAGTTTTGACTTTTTATAATGACTGCAGACATTCACAAGACTGTAGAGAAAGAAGTATTCTGCTGAGTTAACAGTCTATATTAGAAGAAGGAGATGTGAGATATATGTCAATGATACAACAACCCAACAATACAAACACTTAGGAGCCATCAAGAGCTCTACATAATAATTTGAATAATAGTTAAATGTCTATGTTAACTGCTAACCACTCTGAGTCTATAGACAAGTTTCCATTGGTATAGCTTTGAACACAATTTTTACCAAATCACATGCCTTCCTAGAAATGTTGACATAATGAATTTTAAAGCTTTCAGAATGTTCACCCAGACCTGTAAAAAAATGAAAATAAAATGTCAGCATAATTGAATCATATTAGTAAAATGACCACACATTCTTACATAGTTGATGTGTACTGCCTAACAACTCTTTGTATAGGAGTATCTTTGATTTTGTAAAAAACTGCAAATATTTAATATAAAGTTATTGTATGTACATTAACCTGATTTCATCGAAATTCAATAACATTTAAACGTCTATAATCCTAACTACTGCTTAGTAATTACTCAATGTTTTACATAATTCAAAGAAGCAAAACCTTTTAAGATACATATGTACAGTCATATTAAATGCTTTTATCACAGCCACATATTTTCTTATCACTCATTTGAAGGGTAAATTTGCTACCTTGAAGAGCACTTTAAGCTAATATGGAAATTAGATTACTCAGTATTGTTTTAATACGGAAAGATTTGACAATCAAACCTCTTAAGATTTATAAATTGGTTTCGTGTTTGTGAAAATATGTGCAAAAATCCTTTAATCTCTTTAATTCATTAAATTTGAAGGACTCCTTGTATAGAATTCCATGCATAGGATGAAATCACTTATATCTTGGCTTGCTTTAGTTTCAAATGTTCTTAACTACTTTGTCATCTTCACACCTCAGTGTCCAGAGTGCAAGTATTTATTTTAATATTGTGAAACATTTTACAGCAATGAGAAACATAGCCAATTAAGTAAGTTATGATAGACATATTTCCTCATTGCAAAGGAAGGCTGTTGATTATCCCTTTGTCCTCATTGTAAAGGAAGGCTGTTGATTATCCCTCTGTCCTTATTGTTAAGGAAGGCTGTTGATTATCCCTCTGTCCTTATTGTTAAGGAAGGCTGTTGATTATCCCTCTGTCGTTATTGTTAAGGAAGGCTGTTGATTATCCCCTTGTCCTTATTGTTAAGGAAGGCTGTTGATTATCCCTCTGTCCTTATTGTTAAGGAAGGCTGTTGATTATCCCTCTGTCGTTATTGTTAAGGAAGGCTGTTGATTATCCCCTTGTCCTTATTGTTAAGGAAGGCTGTTGATTATACCTCTGTCCTTATTGTTGAGGAAGGCTGTTGATTATCCCTCTGTCTTTATTGTTAAGGCAGGCTGTTGATTATCCCTCTGTCCTTATTGTTGAAGAAAGATATGGACTATTTTTCTCATAAAAATCAAAAGGACAAAAAATCATCAATTTCATTATACCTCATATTTCTACATACTATTCAGTATTAGTGTTGGGCCCTTGATTGAGCTAAACTTCTGGTCATCATCTGCCATTCTATCTACTCACAGTAATCCCCACTGGTATACTGTACTTTTCTTAACAAGTTCATTGTTCAAAATTGTATTTGATTTCTGTTATGATTTATATGGAAAGTTTTAAGGTGTAATCTAAAAGAAACAGATGTAAAATTTCATATACTATCTGGGATGTGGACCATATGAGTTTTTTGCAATTATTCATGAAAAATTATGACAAACAACATTGAAGTGACCAAACTTCAGAATCATGAAAATATTTTCGAAGTATATTAATTGTGTCATATGATTTGCATGGCTCCATTTATTATGGAAGTAAAGGAAGAAAAGATTTGCGAAAACAGCTATACAATGGAATTTTTCTTCATATTTCTATTACTGCATAGAAAATAAGATCAGTCTGTTTTTGTTTTTCAAAGACTACCAGATGAAATGATGTTTAAAAAATGAAGACTTTTTTCTATTTTTTCAGTATGTACACATTTAGAGATATTAGATGTTCTCATAGAACAAGATGCTGAGCTGTCAAAATGTGACAATCATAATGCCTACCCTATCCATTACGCTGCACAGATGAATGGACGAGATAATGGGCACTCTGATGCTAAAATAGGAGAGAAAGTCCTGAAGAAATTATTAGACAGTGGTATACCATGCGACGTTTTAGATAAAGACAGACGACAGCCTTTATTATGGGCTGCAAGTGCAGGTTAGAAATTTTAAAATATTGGGTATATTTAACAAACCAAAGATATCTAGTTTATTCCTAATGAGACTTTTCATGACGAGTTTAGAAAAAGCAAAGTCTTTTCTTTCCTCATTATATCTGATTAATACATGACAGTGTATAAAACTTTATAAGATCATTTTACAATGCATTATAACCAGACAATATGAAAAAAGAGAATAATCGACAGCAGCATTTAATTTATTGATTTTCTACAATTTATATGCTATGTGAAATTAAAGTTTGACATGTTACCATTGGCGATGAGACACTCATTAAAAATAGGTTTCTGATCAAAACAACATCTAAAAATTGTACTGCATCTTTTAAGAGAGTCAAAATAGGGGCAGATGAAAACTAAGAAAAGTTATATAAAGTTAGATTTTATGATCAGCCAAAAAATTAAAGTACTTTATGCAAAGCGAAATTGACTATAATTGATTAAATATTGTTTGTTTAATGTCCAGTGGCAAATATTTCATGAATATTCAGATCAAGCAGAATTTCTTTTCAAAACACAATGCATTAAAGTGTGTTAAATAAAAATGGACAAAAAATTAAATCAAAATATATGAACCACCTGTTATTATTTTTTTCAATGTGCTACCCAGAAAGAATATTGGAACTATTTTTTAACCAGTCACATGATTATGTGCCTATCCAAAGTCTTGAATCTCATTATTTTTTGTTTGCTTTTGTCAAAATTTTGAATTGAGAGTTTTGTAAATATGGTGTTTATTTCATTAAGTGTATGGTGTTTATTTCATTAAGTGTTTAGTTGTCTATCTTGAGTGTATTTGTTTTTCACACTTGACAATTTCTATCTGTTACATTATATGGTGTCTCAATCATTGTTCAAGGTCATATGGTGACTTAAATGTCTTTATCATTAACTAGGTGCTTTATGGTTATTGTTTTAAGAATCCTTAATCAAAATCTAAATTTTAGGGGTTAAAAATGAAGAATGAAATGAGAAAATAATCAAAGTTAGGTGAGGAGGGTTGTGCAATAATTGCCACTGTGGGTATGTTAAAGACTAAAGATTTATTTTCCTAGGAGTATTCATAAATATACTCAAATATCCATAAGTGTACTCAAGTATTCAGTTATAATTGCCCATGTCAGCTCAGTTGTAGAAAAATAATGACACTGTTTTGGTTATTTTGAAAGTGATAATTTTGGTAACTAATTCTATGAATTGTTCGTTTTAATGAAATGTTCATGTCATGGTATGCAACCAAAGTTTCCTTAATTGAAATTCAACTTAATCCAATTTACTAGTCCCCCCAATCGTCCCTGTATATTGCTGCTTATATTATTTAGGGCCTATGGTATTAATACTTAGGTGCTATCTCTTTGGGGCCTGAACCAAAAGCTGAGAAGATACAGTGCAAATGAAAGCATCTGTTTTACACTAATCAGAGATCAGTAAGGGACCCAAGACATGCTAACTGGTTCTTGAATAAGGTATAAACTGAACAAACACAGGTTTGGGAGAAAGAACCACAGTTAAATATTTTCTTTGCATATCAATTAAGCAATAAACATATTTACAAACAAAGCAAAATCAAGTTGAAAATCTGTGGTAGTCCAAAATAACCCCCTCCCCCCAGCAGTAACTGGGAAACCCCAGTGCTGATTGGACAAAATAATAGACAAGGTTTCCCAAATAAAATTAAACATGCGCAAGCATTCCCAATAAAACATATTGTGTCTTAATAATATATTTATACAGAACAGTTCCTATGGAACAGAGTTAACCTATAATTTAAGTATACATTATTTTTGTATATTTTTTTTTTTATAATAATGAAATGTTATAATGACAGCTTTAGTGAATTGTTTTAATTACACTCAATAGTTTAGTATTCATCCTTCGCATTTTTTTCTGTAAAAGACCAGTAGAATTTGAAGGTATGAATTAGTATAGATTTAAAGATTAATCTAGTGATAAATACTTCACAATATATGTACATACCACCAAAAGTAAGGACTCGCTAACTATGTATCAAGTCTTATTAAGTCTATTTCAAGACCAGTTGATAAATACTTCACAATATATGTACATACCACCAAAAGTATGGACTCGCTAACTATGTATCAAGTCTTATTAAGTCTATTTCAACACCAGTTGATAAATACTTCACAATATATGTACATACCACCAAAAGTAAGGACTCGCTAACTATGTATCAAGTCTTATTAAGTCTATTTCAACACCAGTTTATCAATTTTTCTTTTTTCAAAAATGACGTTTTGTTCTTGATCTTTCAGGGAACTCAGAATCCTGTAAATTATTAGTGACTGCTGGAGCTGATGTTAATTCTACAGATAAAGATGGTCTTACAGGTAAGATTTCAAACAGAATTATTGACAAGGGTTAAAAGTAACTATAACGGGATTACTTTGCAACTTTTATTTGAATGTAGAAAATACTACTTTTCAATTATTAGAAAGAAAAAAAAGATGATTTTTATGTTCCTTTTAGGAAAAGTACATATTGCTTAACCCCTGCTCCTCTGTCCGTGTGAAAGTCTATCAGCTTTATGCTTGTCCACTCAATTCCTCCTACAGAATTTAGATAGAATGCTATTATTTTGAGGATGTGCTTATTGTCAGGATTTCATTTTTGTATTATTCCCAAAAGGACAGGTGGTTCAGCTTTTAAGTCAACTATTATTCTTTAAAGTGTGAATAAGTTTGAATATATGGTGTACTGTTTGTCAGCTTGACCTCTACAGGTTTTAGCAAGCATGCATTTATTTATACTAAGGATGTGCTAATATCATATTGTCAGGATTTTGATTTAAAGTGATATTAAGAAATGAAATATTAGTTAGATGATAGATTGATTGTTGCTTAAATATAGTAGACCTATTGGTAGAATTTTGTCAAACTTTCACAGATTTTTCCTTACATTGTGTAATTTTGCACCACCTATTTTATCTCTTTATCAAAATGATTTAGAATGGGTGGCCCATATTAGCCATGGACATATTTTTGCAGTTATGCAATTTTTCTCGAGAACATGTCATGATGGTTTGTTTGCTTGCACAGTGTGCATCTCAACAATTTATACACATTCAACGTGTTTAATCATCGTCATTATAAGTTTTCAGAGATATAAGAGTAAAGTTCCAAAAATAAATGTATCATTGCTAAAAACAATGACGTTTCCTGAAACAATGAACCCCTTCCCCTAGTCAAATGGACAGCTGTCGTCAAAATGCATCATGATAATGACCCAGAGATTTTGTTAACCTCTGCTCAATGAATAGGAAAGGTTTTTTTTTTTTTTCGCAAATAATCTAAATCAAAGTTTAATTTCAAATTCTTTCGACGCCTTACACTACTAATTTGTCATGGGTGCATGCACGTTGTGTCTGTGATATACCATATAGATTTTTTGTGGGGTTATCTATGCCCTCCTGGATAGTTTTATTCATTCATTTCAAATATGAGCAGGCACTTCTTTTAAAAAAAATGTAGCTCAGTGCGTTTTTTATATAATTTGTTTAATAGACGTAATAAAAATATCTGGAAAACCATGAATGCCCTGTGAGTAAGCAAATATTTTATGTCAGTTTTTTATCTCTATGGTTTGTTAATTGCTTTGAGCGAATATCACACATTAACATGTTGTTTAATATAACAGGGTTAATGAATATTTTAGAGTCATAGATTATGGTGAAAATGTGTCTCACATGGTATGCGGAAAATTTGATTTCTTCTCAAGTTTGCATTAACCTGTAGACCTAAAAAATGAATGTCTGATAGATCCTCCTTTATCAGACGTGTTAGTTTTATAGTTAACTTTTGGAAAATTGCATAATAAGTTACCAAGTATAACTGTAGATTGGCGGTAGCTTAAAATGGATGGTTTATGCGGCGATCATGGGCACCCACTCTAACATAGACTTTGTCATCTGCACACTACAATACACATTTGTATCCACTTCTCCTAACTACAATACACATTTGTATCCACTTTTCCTAACTACAATACACATTTGTATCCACTTCTCCTAACTACAATACACATTTGTATCCACTTTTCCTAACTACAATACACATTTGTATCCACTTTTCCTAACTACAATACACATTTGTATCCACTTCTCCTAACTACAATACACATTTGTATCCACTTTATCTAACTACAATACACATTTGTATCCACTTCTCCTAACTACAATACACATTTGTATCCACTTTTCCTAACTACAATACACATTTGTATCCACTTTTCCTAACTACAATACACATTTGTATCCACTTCTCCTAACTACAATACACATTTGTATCCACTTTTCCTAACTACAATACACATTTGTATCCACTTTTCCTAACTACAATACACATTTGTATCCACTTCTCCTAACTACAATACACATTTGTATCCACTTCTCCTAACTACAATACACATTTGTATCCACTTTATCTAACTACAATACACATTTGTATCCACTTCTCCTAACTACAATACACATTTGTATCCACTTTTCCTAACTACAATACACATTTGTATCCACTTTTCCTAACTACAATACACATTTGTATCCACTTTTCCTAACTACAATACACATTTGTATCCACTTTTCCTAACTACAATACACATTTGTATCCACTTCTCCTAACTACAATACACATTTGTATCCACTTTTCCTAACTACAATACACATTTGTATCCACTTCTCCTAACTACAATACACATTTGTATCCACTTTTCCTAACTACAATACACATTTGTATCCACTTCTCCTAACTACAATACACATTTGTATCCACTTTTCCTAACTACAATACACATTTGTATCCACTTTTCCTAACTACAATACACATTTGTATCCACTTTTCCTAACTACAATACACATTTGTATCCACTTCTCCTAAACCCCTAATCAGAATGTTATAAAACCTTTTCAGAGTCATCATCATATATAAGTTAATATATATATGCCATTATGCCCTCCTTGATTTGTTCTTGATCCAAATTATGTTTGGTGTTTCCCCTTGCATTTCATGGACTTCATGTCATTACTTAATCTAGGGGTACCCATTTCGTATGTGCTCTTGCTAAACCCTTTTTAAGAAATTGTTGAAACTTTCTCAGAATCATAACTATATAATGTAATGCATGGTCAGCACCTCATATTTTGTTTATTGATCCACATTACTTTTGGGGTTTCTCTTAGAAAATTATTAACTTTGCCATTCCTGTAGGTGGGAGCGGGGTATCATTTTACCTATAGTTTGCAACATATTTGTATACCTGAAATATCAGTGTATATTGTCAGGATGGTATTAATCAATTATTAAAGTATTTATTAACTTTAAATAGAATCATCTATTTACGCCATGAAACAAAGTATAATAAAAACAACTGTTCACCCGTTAAAATAAAGCGGACAAATGCCTTGGGGGTATACTTTAGTGAACTTTTTTGTTATCTCTGTCACCAACAGGGAAAGCTGGTCCAGTAACCTCTCTACTACATCCATCATTCCCTTATTCATTTATTCTTCTGTCTGTCTGTCCGAAAGACCTTGTGTAGAAAACTTTCTTCAAAGTTTTTCTTGGCTTTTTTTAAATGGAATGATTTCATATTTGGTCTGCAGCTTGGTAGCTTGGCAGCCACTTCCTTTTAGCTGATAGTTTGAAATTTAACAACACTCATTGTAGAAGGAAAATTTTTTTTCAAACTGTTTTTTGCTTCTATGGAAGGTAATCTTTATGCTTCAGTATACATGTTACCTCAATCAATTGCACACAGCAATACAGGTTTGTGCTTTATTCAATACTCAATTTTACACTTTTAGATTAATGAAAATAAGTTCAGTTTTGACTGAAAATAAAACGTAGGAGTAAAACTCAAATATTGTTTAATATCTTGAAAATTTTAATAGATATAGAAAATCATGCTGCAGTAAAAAAATTTAGATGTTAAGATCTACCTACTGTCCATTTTGACAAAAAAAAAGTAGATGGAAAAATTACGCAGGAAAATAAGTATACAGATCTTTATATTATATAATGCATATATGATTTCAGCTCTTCATTGTGCTGCCTCTCGGGGACATTCTGAATGTGTTGATAAATTAAAGAAACTTGGTGCTGAAGTTAATGTGGCTGATACTAATGGATGTACAGCTTTGTTTTATGCCATAACTCTTGGAAATAAGGACTGTACCAGACTTTTATTGAAGTATGGTGCAGATCCAAATCACAAAGACACTCGAGGGAGGACGTAAGTAAAAAAAAATATATATATTTCAGTTGGATGACGATTTTGAGACAACATAACAGAAGAATTTTGTTTAGGCATTTTTATGCCCCACCTATGATAGTAGAGGGGCATTATGTTTTTTCGGTCTGTGAGTCCGTTCGTCTGTCCGTCTGTGTGTTCATTCGCCCGTCTGTCCCGCTTCAGGTTAAAGTTTTTGGTCAATTTAGTTTTTGATGAAGTTGAAGTCCAATCAACTTGAAACTTAGTACACATGTTCCCTGTGATATGATCTTTCTAATTTTAATGCCAAATTAGAGTTTTGACCCCAATTTCATGGTCCGCTGAACATAGAAAATGATAGTGCGAGTGGGGCATCCGTGTACTATGGACACATTCTTGTTTTTTTCTTTTCTTGGGAAAGCTTTAAAATAGAAATGAAAGACAAAGAAGGTTTGCAGAATAAGTCAGTAGCTTTATTACGATTTAAGGAAAAAATGGTAGTTTTCATGTATTTGGTCCACACAGTAAATCAAATAACAAAGTCAAGTATGCGTATCAAATCAGTTCTTTGATTATGTTGAATACATAAATTATAAATCATAAATAAGAGTGAGACTAAATTCCGCTAATCATAAAAATAATATACAGTGCATTAATTACTTCTCAGTCATAATAAAAGATAAAGAAACATGTTTTCTTATAAAGTACAAAGTTTGCACAAAAGATTAAATCAATATATTTCATTTACGGAACATTTTTACAATTCTTGTTAAAGAAATGAATGCTAAAGTCGGATCAAATATATGCTTACCAATTATGCTCTCTTATAAAAATCATCTTGTGTGTCCAAATACAATCCAAATAATAAACTGCCGTAGACAAATTGAAATAACATCATCATAATAAAACTTAACGTCATAAAGATGGGCGGCAAAGACGGCAAATATATTTAGCACCGTAAATGTCAATAATTGTAAAGAAAAATAAAGCTTTTACAAAAAGCTTGCCTATAAATTAAATAGTGGCAGTCAAGTGACAATGTATACACTATTAGTGTTTTAATAAATGTATCTTCTACCAAATATTCAAGAATAAAAATGTGAATAGATATAATTCTTACACCATGTTCGCATGTTTTGCTTTTTTTAGGCCTACACATTGTGCTGCAATAAAGGGTTGCCTGGAAACAGTTAAAATGTTAGATAAAAGTAAAGCGGACCTCTGGCATGCTAGTTTCCGTGGTGATTGTCCTATCCATGAAGCTGCACAGGGAGGACATTGTGGTAAGAACTAACAATTTGGTGATACATCTTTAATGTTGTGGTGTTAGAACTCCACACTTCCTTTATTACCAAGTTTGCAGGCATACTCAGAAATAGCTTTCAGTAGGAAAATTATACTTTCCAAAGAAAGTTTACATGTAGAACCTTTGAAATATTTTCCTTAAAGTTTTTATTTTACAACCATTTACTGTCGCCTTTTTTTAATGACAGAAAAAGTGATAAATGTCATGTTGTTTTTTCTACACAGTACAGAAATGCTTATAATTTAAAAATCTTGAAAATCTTGTTTGTACCAGGGCAACAAAACAAAAGAAAAGATTTGACTCAAATTCTCATATTTGATTTAAAACACACTAAAACGTATATCCAAATTACAAAAAGTCTAAAATAAATAATTAACAATGCATGGACTTGATAATATATATCAGCATTTTGTGTGAATTTATGTTTAGACGTCATCTAATTAACCATTGAGATGACCTCAAAAGACTGCTGACCGTCTTGTAACCTGATATAAACATAAATATAGATCTAAATAAATAGCGACCACGTGTAATTAGATTTTCTACGTCTGTTTAATTTCATATTGTAGGTTAAAAAGTATGTTTATCATCGTTTTTACCTGTATAAGAATGATTTTTCTGTGGATCAAATCAGTCAACCAAGTGGTTCATCCTTGTTCCACTTTCAATGTTGACATTCTTTTCCCTTTAATAGCTGTATATATGCGTAACCCATCTCCAGCTAAAAGGTTAAATTGATGGTCACATGATTACAGATTCAATGAGGTCAAATTATTCACTTGCAAGTGAATAATTCATCAGCGATGTTTCTTAGCTTAATTTGGCAAAATTGAACCAAACTTACTACTTAACCCAAATTACTATTTCACTATTTCATTTTCATTATTGATTGAACAAAAAAATAATATTTCATTTTTTATCATATCTCGTAGCAAATGCCCCTTTAAGAAAAAATTTGTTAATCAAATCGAAATAATTAATAAAAGTTATTAAATCAAAGGAAAAAATGCACATTACTGAATTTACTTTTATCTTTAAATTCAAAGACTGTTAGATTTGATACATTATTTATTCTGAAGAATGCTTCTTTTTGTGAGCAGCAAATGAAAACTAAATAAAACTTACTCCAAACACATATGCATCTGCACAAAGAATCAGATACAATTTTCTATTAGAATGCCTAATGAATACTAGAAAACATTTAGAGATCACTATTTTTTTTAAATGATAATGGAGCAAAAAGCTTATATTGCATAAATTCTGTTGAGAATAAAACATTACAATGTTAACAATTTTGTTAATTTGTGATCAAAGGGAGATAATTGCAAAAAATAATTACATTTTTATATTAGATGTAAGACAAATCAAAATGAATTTAGAAGGATTGCCAAAATGTACTTATTATGCTTTGATGCAAGATAATGTCAAATACTTTTGACAATCTGATTGAATATAACATGTCTTAGATGAATAATATTTAGTTTATTTTATTGGAAGAATCATCTTTCTTTTTGTATTAAAGTAATCTTGTTATTTTTGCAGATGTGGTGAAGTATTTGTTAAAATGGAAGAACTCACCAGATGCTGTAAATATAGCTAATGATGCTGGGCGTACCTGTCTACATATTGCTGCCATAGTCAATAACCTGCAATTATGTAAACTACTGCTGGACAGTGAGGCTGATAAAAATGCTCTTATGAAAAATAAGGTAACACACTAATAATAGTCAGTAACAATTACAACCTTTGTAATGTCAATTTTATATTTAGTTTGTATTAGAATGTAAGCAACAGCCTCATTATACCATACACAATGAAGTTGTGGAGATTATCTCGGTTTTTAGCAATCCTTCTGTGATCACTTTGTTGTCAGCTGGATAGCATCATAATATTTTGTTAAATCCTCTTCAAATTTGTATGAAAGTTTCCACCCATGAAACCAGAGATGAATTCAGTCAGAAAGATCTGAAATTGGGAACCTTTTTTTAAGGTTAGGGACTTGCAAATTTATCCAATATTAATTCCTGTTGCTGGAATAGTGCCTTTATTTTTGTCTAGCCTTGACAATGTTGCAGGGGCAAGACGTAGGTGCAGCAGCATCAACAAGTTTGTGATAAGGCCAATTTAAGAGGAATCACTTATTGTAAGTCAATATAATTTGGTATGCAGCTGGATAGCCCTGCCCCCTCAGTCATGATTTATTGATTGTGAAAATTTTGCTAATTTTGAATGTTAAAGTTTGAGATTAGATGAACAACTTATTGTTAGTCAATGATATTTGGTATGCAGTTGTATTAGCATTGCCAAATCTCATATTCATGGAGATTATTTGACCCCACCCTTGTCTATTGACTTAGAAAATTTTTCATAGTTTACATGTTAAAGTTTGTGATAAGGTCAGTTTAATGGGAAACCCTTATGCTATGCTGCGATAGAGATTATATGGATCTGCTACTTCAGTCCTAGTTCATTGACTGAATTTTTTGCATAGTTTACAGGTTAAAGTATTATCATTTTAATTTCAGTATTTGCATTTCACTATCAAAATTATAATCCTATTCAAATTTAGTTTCCACTTTGCAAATCATAGATGATTTTGATTATTAGAACATCTGAAATGGGGACCAATATTAATTTTGGGTTGGTTTTTTTTGTGGGTGGGGAGGTAGACTTGCAAAATATGAAAGAAATGATTTCTTCCAATATAGATATAGACTTTAGTTTCAGATGATTACTTATTTTTGTCATGAATGAACAAACACTATCTCTAAATTGCTGAAGCAGAAGTATCTTTAACACACTAATATAAAAATAAAGATAAGGAGATGTGGTATGATTGCTGATGAGAGGACTATCCACCTGAGTTCAAATGCAAGGACATAAGTAATTAGTTACCGTAAGGCCTTCAACAATGAAAAAAAAACACAAAACATAGTCAGCTATAAATGCCCTACATGAAAAATTTGAAACAATTCAATTGAGAAAACTAAATGGCCTAATTTATAAAAAACAATTTACTCAAAACAAATATGACAGACATGAACCAACGACAACCACTGAGCTACAGGCTCCTGACTTGGGACAGGCACAAAAAGAATGTGGCAGGGTTGAACATTGTTGTGAGCGCTCAACCCTTTCTCTAACTTTGGTCAGTGGTGTAACAGCACAACATAAGAATAAGCTATATACCCATCTGTATCAGTTACATAACTAAAATACACAGCTGGCTGTCCAGTCAAAATGCCAGCAATTTACAGAAGCAAAAAATTGTATAGTACCTTTTCAACTTTTAGCTGCTGTAAATTGTTCAAAAATAAATTTGAATGATAAACTTTAATGATTGTAGAACATATATGGATGGAAAGCTGAAATTGTGACAGGGAAAATAAACTAATATAATTCATACCATATTTACTACTAGTCAATGGGTTGTTCAAACTTCTAAAATACATGTTTAATTTGCACATCTGTGCAACTACATTTCTTTTTCAATAATTTGAAGAATTATGCATGTTGTCATGTTTTAGAAATTGAAATAGCACTATATAAATTTGGTGTGTCTGAAGTTCTTTTTTTTTATTTGCCTTCATCGGGAACCCCCAATCCAAAAAAATAATAGACAAGGATCTACTTTATATTTCACACTTAACAGCAGACAAATATGTTGATAGAAAATTCAAATCTTCTTTGTTCTGAAATTGATAGTAACATAAAAATCAACCAATGAATAAAAAACGTATTTAGTTCCAAGGTTATATCTGAACTTTAAAGACAAATAAACTGGAAAATATTTTCTTATAAATCAATTGATAGAAAACAAATGTCCTATACCTGGCTGAGTACAAGCTCTTTCCTCAGGAAAGTGACTTAACAGGGATTAAAATAAAATTGAGAATGGAAATGGGGAATATGTCAAAGAGACAACAACCCGACCAAAGAGCAGACAACAGCCGAAGGCCACCAATGGGTCTTCAATGCAGCTAGAAAATCCCGCACCCGGAGGTGGTCCTCAGCTGGCCCCTAAATAAAATTGTGTGCTAGTTCAGTGAAAATGGACGTCACACTAAACTCCAAAACATATAAATGAACTAAAATTAAAAAAACATACAAGACTAACAAAGGCCAGAGGCTCCTGACTTGGGACAGGCGCAAAAATGCGGCGGGGTTAAACATGTTTTGTGAGATCTCAACCCTCACATTAAAAGTTTATATGTTGCTCTACATTGTTTCCAGTTCTTTTTAAAGTTTTTTTTTCTATATAAACAGACCAACAAGGATGGGGAGACAGAGGTTTGTATGCATGGTCATAATGTTGTAATATTTTGTATTAAACAGAATTTGATTTTGTTGATATTGATTTTTATCTGCTTTTAATCTTTAACTTCACTTTCTTTTTCTTGTTTTGTTGTTTAACATTACTGTAGATGTACAAAGCTAGTTTATTTTTTGTCTTTTCTGCATCAAAAGTCTCGAAAGGGGAGAGACATAGTGATCCTAGATTCCAGTGTTGTCTTATATTTGTCAAAACTACAAAGTATTTTATAAAACTAGGTCAGAAGGGTTTTTCATGAATAAAAGAAACCATCTGAGTCATGATTATGAAAATATATTTTTTTTAATTTTTAGCTCACATGGTCCAAAGGTAAAACAGTAAATGGGCAATGTCACAGATTTTGTTTAAATTTTGCATACAACTTTGGCTAGTTGAACCATAACTGAAAATCAAAAAAATAATGCTTTTATCTCTTTTATTTTCTGAAATTACTGATTGAATTCTTTTTAATTGGTGAACCTTTGAATAGAAAGCACATAAAATCGAAGAAAAACGTTCTTAAATTTGTCTTAAAAATCATCAAATCTCCAACTTCAAATCCATAGATTTCTCTTGAAAATTGCATGTTGTTGATACATAAATTTCCATTTTAATGATATGATTTATGATATGGTCACCAATTTTCTATAAAAATGTTCACCTATTTTGAAAGAATTCAATCAGTAATATTTCAGAAAATAAAATATATAAATGCATTATTTTTTCAATTTTCAGTTTTGAGCCAAAGTTATAGGCAAAATCTTACAAACATCTGAGACCTAGACCATTTACTGTTCCTTGACCTTAAGTGACGATTTTTTGTGTTTTTTGTCTATTATCTCGAAAACTACTATAGACAGGTAGAAACTGTAAACAGCAAAAATGATAAGAAATACAAGATCTTCAAAAATACCAGTACAACTGAAACAATTGGATGACTCATTAAGAAGTATTAGCCTTAAATGCTGATTTTTTACTAATTTTTGTGCCCGTCGTATACATTTTCAAATATCTTCTCTGAAACTACTGAACCGATTTCAACAAAATTTGAGGTGAATGGTCCTTAGAGTATCTTGTATTAAGTTTGGGTTATATTCCAGTCGCATTGTTAAAAACTAAAATTTTCAAACTGTGGCAACATTAACATTTAGGGAGTTTTTTTCCAAAAAATGTTAATGTTGCCCTGATCAGACTGAAAAAAATAGCAGCAAAAGAAAACATGGGTTCTGATTTGTAAAATTTTTTTTATAAGAAAAATATGGCCTCCAGAGTCTTGATTCTGATGGAATCCCATTGAAGGCATTTTGTTTTAACTATTTGAACATTTGAATAAATGTTATCTGTGTTTGTATGATTGAATGATATGCTTCAACTTCATAGTTATATTGGTCCAATGTGTAATGAAGCTATGATATACAAGTCATTTGGACAATACAGGCAGCATGAAAACTTAAGTTGTTTTTTATAAGAGTTTTCATTTTGTCATTCTTTCCAAAATTGTACACAAAGAAGATAATAGAAAAAAGGAAATAAAAATAATCTTTAAAATGTCTATGTTTGCAAACTATATTTACCATAATGTATTACTAGAGTTGCCTCCCTTTGAGTATGAAAGGCATGTTTGAGTACTATTTGTAGGTAGGTGAAATGTTACAATAATTTCTTAGGATGATGTGGATATTCTCCTTATAATAGGAGTTTATGAGATATTCATTCATAATGGCAAACAGACTGCTTATAACGTCTTTACACGAAATCTGTTGGAAGTGTACTGATTGTTACTTTAGTTTATGGTTTATTTTGTTATTAGTTTAAATTTGGCTATGGAATAGTTTTCAGAACATTTAGGTACTCATAGGATGGTACTTTGTGGCCTTTGTTTTTCTATTTATTAATTGTTCTTTTGCTTAGTACCAATCTGATGAGTCAAGCACTTTTTAACTTATTTTTAGAGTTTTTGTTGTGCTATTACACAGGGTTTTCATTACACCACTGCCCCAGGTTAGCGGAGGGTTGAGGATTTACAAAAGTGTTTAACCTCCTCACATTTTTTATGAGCATGTCCCAAGTCTGGAACCTGTAATCCAGTTGTTGTCATTGGTTGCTGTCTGCTGTAATTGTTTTTTTGTTCATTGTTTTTTGCATAAATCAGGCTGTTGAATTTCTCTTATTTTTTTTTTAGATTGTTCACATTTTGTGAACCTTGGGTGTTTTGTGGCTTACATAAGTGTAGGTTTTGCTCTGTTACCTGTTGTAAACTTTGAAACAACTTCTTCTTTCTTGACTTTCTTGAAATAGACATGGTAACAATCATTCTTATGGTACCTTGTTCAAAACTTTACCCAAATGTTCATACCAACCAAACAACATAGGTGTCAAAATTTAGGAATAAAATGAACCAAAACTAGATGTGTTGTTATGACACTTATGTCCCTGCCATCAGCCTAATGTTCAATGTTCTTTTCTGGGAATTCCAATGTAAGATGGTGAATATCAGAGACAATTTTTCTACACTGTGTTCATGGATGTATAGTATAGCTTATATGGAGAAACTGAGAAATATATTATGTAATTGTTGAATCGGTAAATGAGAACAACAAATGTTAATTACCAGATATAAAATTCAAACTTAAATTCTGTGAACATGTGGTGAACCAGAAAAAAAGGAAATTCAGTCCTTGTTTTTGTGATAAATGTCATCAACGTCTTTTGTATAAATGTATAATGATGTAAAATTAACAGTTAAGCTGTCTGGAAAGACAAAAGGAACAATAAAAGGTCCTTATTTAGTAACTTATGGTCTAAAACAGTGACAAATCATTTTCACCATCATACTTTGGGAAAACAGTTATTTTCTGCCTTTAAACTGGTTGTTATGTCCTTAATTTTTTATTATTTGCACCGAAAATACTGTTTGTGCTGTCAATTGAATACATTGGAAAATTTCATTTGATGGGAGATAATCAGTATCTTAAGACCATTATAATCATATATTGTGTTACAAATTTAACAGCATGCTATTATTTATTCCAAAGTTGAAATGTTACCAACAAAAATCCTCACAAATAATATTTGAGCTCTAGTACCTACATGTCAGTCAATAATCTATTGATTTGTTTTATAAAACCTCTATTCCATATGTCAATAGACAAATTATCTTTGTAGAAGTATTCTAAGGACATAAGAAAATAGCTTTTATGGGCCATACACTTCATTTAAACACCTGAATACATTCATATTGTATTTTGATTCTTCTGTCATTATAAAATTGGCATTGACTTATTTGAATGATGTTGATACAAGATTATGATTGACTGATAATTTTTTTGAAAAAAAGAACATTGAAACATTTTGAATCAATTGTCAAGATTTTATCTACTTCTAAAATATAGAAGTTTAATTGCTAATTAATCCCCGTTGATGTTTTAGCTTCTGTGTTCTGAATGTCCTTGTTTAACTTAAAGTTTTAACAACTGGTGCTATTACAAACCATGGTTATATGTCTAAAATAAAATTATTGTTGTACCCTTGTCTGCACATGTCTGTTCATCCATTCATCTGTTCCAAATAGGGTACATGGTTGGTCCGACTAACTCTAACAGTTTTCAAGCATTATAACTTTTATATTGTGCAGAACTTTTGTAAATAGATAAAAACGATAACAGGAATACCAAAATATTACACAGTAGACAACAGACCACACTAACAACTAACTCCTACGATAGATATACCAATAAAGATAAACAACAACAAACAATTCATGGTCCAGATAGCCTCACTTAGTACAGTTACAAAATTTGGTGGGGGTAAACCATTTTCACTTGTATATATTATCAGGATTTTGATTTCTTTAAATTTTTAACACAAGACAGGATGTTGGACTTAATCATTTTTTGTTGAAATTACATATGCAGGGTACATGATTTGTCTAGCTCACGTTAACTGTTTTCAAGCTGAGCAATTATCTTCTGAAGAATGCTTGTAAACATAGCTGAGGACCACCTCCGGGTGCGGGATTTTCTCGCTGCGTAGAAGACCAATTGGTGGCCTTCGGCTGTTGTGTGCTCTTTGGTTGGGTTGTTGTCTCTTTGACATATTCCCCATTTCCATTCTCAATTTTATATACCATTACCAAAAATATTAGACAGTACAACATACCACACCAATCACTAACAACTCCTCCTGGAAAATAGACATACAAACACTGGTTTAGATATGGGGAACCCTTTTTCCAGGAAGGGGAATAGTTGAAATATCCCATATCAATTGTTGTCTCCTGGATAGCACCTTCATTGTTTATAAGATCCTATTCAAATTTGTATGAAGGTTTCCAATCATGAAGTCCTTGGATGAGTTTAATATTTAAAAAAAATCTGAAATGGGGACCATTTGTCGGGAGGGGACTTGTAAATATATCCCATATTACCGATGTAATTCTTGATGCATTATACGCACCGTCATCTTTTATTAGATCCTCTACAAATTTGTGTGAAATGTTCCACTCATCAAAACCTTGAATGATTATGATAATCAGAAAAATTTGAAATGGGCTACCATTTTTTTCGTAAACAGAACTTGTAAATATATCCCATAATTATTCTTGTTGCCGTGATAAAGCTTTCATTTTTTTATCAGATTCTCTTAAAATGTGCATTCGAGTTATATGAATCAAGACCTCAATGACTTCAATAATCAGAAAAATCTGAAATTTGGGACAGTTTCTTGGAGAGGTGGCCTGTTCATATCCCATATTAATTATGTATAACCAGTGCTATTTAAAAAAATTTGGGGAAAGTATGGCTCTTGGAAATATATATTATGGACAAATTGCCTTTTAAATACCTTCACAAGTACAATTCTTCATTGATTTTGATAAAATTGATATGCAAGATCATATGAGTTTGAAAATAGATGCATATTAACAAATTTTGATTGAAGTTTTTAATAGACCTTGAATAGCGGGAAATTCAAATAATTTGGAAACTTGTTTTGTTAGTGATCTCAGGCTGACAATAGATGGTCATTATGAACCTTGTTTTTCATGGCAGATTTTCTGTAGTTATGTCATATGATTGGGATTTCTAGCTTGATTAATTCAGTTTGAAACTACTTCTATGTGTAGTAATTAAACAACATTTTTATTGGATAACAGATAACATTATTGATTTACCTCATTGTCGGAAGTCATAGTTGTTTACATGCTCATTCTGTGTTGTCTGGTGGATACTTGTCTCATTGGGAATCATACCACATCTCTTTAATGTTATATTGAGAGTTGCCTACAACAAATGACACTGCCATTTACGTTTAAAGGTGTATATTGATATGATATAGGAGGGGGAATTTGTTCTCATTTTAGTTTTAAGTTATAATGCAAAGTATGGCAGAGATTAAAGCAACATGTACATTTGATAAATTAAATAAAGTTTTTTGTTTTCTGTTTGGAGCAGATTGGAAATTTTGGTATCCAAGAACATGTGTTATTTAATGAAGATATTAAAATGTGATATGGTTGACTTTATTCATTTGTCTGTTTAGATAAAATGAATTTTATATTAACTTAAATAAATCAATTACATTATCATTTTTCATGTTCAATGCTACTTCCAATTTTATATTTAATATTGTTATATTGAAAGCAGGTGAAAAGGTTGATTATAGTATAACATATCCATTTAACAAGGAACATATAATTAATTCATCTATAGATTTAACAAAAGTACCATTGATATCTTCAATTACATTTGTTGAAATTTTACCTCTTCAACCCCGACTTTAGAAAATAATATATATACTTTGAAAGGTGATAGGGCAAACATTTAAGATCGTTTTCTCAGTGACCAAATTTTCATATTCCAATACATAGTAGTAATTGTTTACAAATAAATTAAGATGTTATTAAAATATTCTCTATATCCAATTTCATCGACAATAGATTTGAAAACAGTGATCCAATGTTCTTAAAGGGATGTTTGTTCTGACCATTTAAAAGTACGACCTGTTATATACCCCATACCTAGATTATCTAAGACATTTCGGTAGACAAACACGTCTTTGTCCCGCATAAAAAATACTCTGTAATTGGTGTCTTTATTGTGACGACCATATCTCAAATTATTTTCGGCAGTAGATTTTGGCATTGATTTGAAAACACTTGGAAGGTATGTGTATCTATGAAGATAATTTGATTTACACAAGACAAAAAGATCTATTAATTTTGATATATTTTGATGTAATGATAAAAGTAACCAGCAGGTTAAAAAAAAAATATTAATTAATGTTAATTTCAATAATTAGAGGTGCGCATTCTGTGCTTAGCAAGATTAAATAATATATTCATATATATAAACATGGTATCTGGAATAGTTCATTTTTTCTAGAAATTCAACATATACTTTTCATTGCATTGTTATTTTAAAAATATAAAGCTAGATGTTGAAATAAGTAATAAATAGCCTAGTTGCAGTTTGGTAATTAATTGAATTAATTGTGAACAATGGTGATGTTTATCAGTTGAATGTTGCATGAAATTGATGATAATTTGATAATCTATATAATTTGTAAATAAGTATTGGAAATATTTTTGCTTTTTTCTGTCAATCATAAGGTCTCTTTACCTCTTCTTCACAAAAAAAGACTGATGCAGATAATTGGATATCTATCTTCTCATGCATAATATCAATCTTTTCATTTGTTTGTGTTTATTTTGTTTGCATGCACATAACTGATGTATATTAAGTTTTATGACTTCATATTGCTAGTTTGATGTTATGCATTTTGTGTTACTAATTGATCTCAAGAACATTTTCAAATCCTTGTGAATCTTGTTCAGACTTTTATAAAATGCTTATTAAAATTTAAAACTATATGTCTAACTTCTATAAAGAATTTGAAAGTTCAAATTGAAGACTAAAGCTGTTTAGTGAAATATGCACCAAAACAAAAGGAATAAAATGGAAATAGAAGCACTGTCTTGTGGCAATTTATTTTAAATGAAGATGTTATAATTGTCATGATATCACTTGATGTAATGATCCATTCTATTTTCAGGACAAATCCTACACACCATATGATGCTGCAATAATTAAAGGCAATAATGAAATCGCTGAATATATAAAATCTAAAGGAGGAGTTACTGGTGGGGATATAGACAATATACTCATAGCTAAAGGCAAAAAAAGGGACACAAAATCTGGTAATTCAAGAAAAAGTGTACCAACTTTAGAAACCACTCCGGAGGAGACTGAGCCAGACGACAATAAAAAAGCTGAGGAAGAAGCTGAAAAGGAAAAAGAAGAAGAAGACAAGAAAGAACAAGAAGCTGAGGAAGACAAAAAGAAACAAAAATCTGAGGTAGACAAGAAAAAAGACAAAGGTAAAAAGAAAGAAAAGGTTGAAAAGGAAAGAGAAAAAGAAAAATTAGTGATTGTTCCAATAGGCAAACAAAAAAAAAAAGAGAAAGACGAAAAAGGGAAAGAGGATCAGAAAGAAAGTGAAAAGGAGAAAGCTGAAACAGATCAAGAAGGAAAAGGAGAGAAAAAAGATTTGACAGATGAGGAACTACGAGAACTTCAGGAGAAGATAAAAGCTGGTGAGAGTGAAGTTGATGAAAGAGATATAAAAAGAAAGCCAATAAAGGAAATAGAAGGGAAAAAAACTGAAGGGGAACAACAGAAAAAGGATAACAAGTTAAAAGATAAAGACAAGAAAAAAGATTTGACAGAGGAAGAATTAGAGGAAGCAAAGAGAAAAATCCAGGCTGGTCAAGGTGATCTAGACGAGAGAGAAAGAAAACAAAAAGAGGCTGAACAAAAGGAAGCAGAAAAAGAAAAATCATCCAAGAAAGAAGGAGAACAGGAAACAAAAGGAAAGAAAAAAGACTTATCAGATGAAGAATTGAAAGCGCTACAAGAGAAAATAAAAGCTGAACAAGGTGATAACGACCAAAGAGGTAAACACAAAAAAACAAAGAAGGAAGACGGTGAAAAAAATAAAGGTGGGAAACAAAAACCAGATTTGACTGATGCTGAAGTTGCTGCTGTTACTGCAGCTGTTATTGTAGCAACAGAAGAAGACAAGAACAGGGATAAAGAGAAGGAAAAATTAAAAACTAAGGAAAAAGATCAGGACAAACTAAAGGTTAAAGATCAGGGTAAAGGGAAGGACACACTTAAATCTGCAGATCAGGAGAAAGAGAGAAAAAAGGAACAAGATAGAGAAGAACTAGATATTCCACCACCTTCTACCTCTCCAGATCTACGTGAACCTAAACAAAAAGAAAAATCTGCTGTAGATAAAGGTCAGAAGGATAAAAAGAAACAAATTGAGGAAAGTAAAAAGAAACAAGAAAAAGACCAGAAGGACAAAAAGAAACTCAGTGATGAAATAGAAAGTGAGGAAAGAAAAAAGAAACAAATAGAAAGTGAGGAAAGAGAAAGAAAAAAGAAACAAATAGAGAGTGAGGAAAGAGAAAGAAAAAAGAAACAAATAGAAAGTGAGGAAAGAAAAAAGAGACAAGAAAAAGATCAGAAGGATAAAAAGAAACAAAGTGAGAAAAGTAAAAATAAATTAAGTGACGAATCAGATAGTGAGGAAGAGAAAAGTAAAAAGAAACAAGTTGATGAACTAGACAGTGAGGAAAATAAAAAGAAGCAAGAAAAAGACAAAAAAGTTCATATTGTACCTAAAAGAGCTTTTGTAGAATCAGCCACAGCAAGTGAATCTGAAAAGTCTAGGCGTGATTCACCTGTCAAATACAGACAAAGGTCTAGATCAAGATCTACAGACAACGAAGAATTTGAGTTTCCAGAGGGTGCACACGAAACAACAGAAGCTGCCATTGCTGCAGCAGAAGCTCGAAGGAAAGCTCGCGAACGTTCAAGGTCTAGGAGTACTGATCGGGAATCTGATGAAAAACCTGCTGATATAAGAAGATATTCAAAAGTAGGCACAGATGGTAGAATTCAGCCTGGTCTTTTAGCAGATAAAGATAAAAGAAATAGACGACCAGATGAGAGAGATATACCGTCACCTTTAGATTCAGAAGACGAATTTATTGATGATCCATATTTTGGACGCAGAGTTAAACCTTATCCAGGATCAGTACGAATAGGGTCAAAGAGACCAGATAATAGGGAACAAGTGTTGAGAGAAAAAGAATTCAATAGAAAAAGACAGCAAGAAATGTCTCATTCTTCTCAGAGAATGCCATCAAAAGGGGGAGTAGCCAGAATGTTGCCATTAGGATATTCTAGGTTAGAAACTCCACAAAGACCAATAACTCGAAAATCAAATTCTATACAAGAAAGTGTGAGACGGTATCAGACAGAGAGAACATTTGTACGACAGTTACATCAATTGAAACGTGCACAGATATATACCGGACCAATGCATGATATTGTGTTGTTCAGTAAGATGATGAATGTTTACAATAACACATCAAACTATGACAATGAACTAGATCTGGATTCACAGGTGCTGGATGATTGGGATGGATATTTACAAGGTAAGTTTAATACATACTTTGTCCAAATATTAGCCAGCTCTACGCCTTTTTTTTATTATTTTTAGTTAGCATGAATAAAGGTTACATAGATTATTGCTTCTCATAAAGATAAAGTGAGGACATTTTAGCTGCTTGCCATGATACATACATCATTATGTACAAAGGATGTGTTAGGAAGACTATCAAACCTTATTATTCATCACTTTATAAATTAAAGGCAAACATAAAGGAAGATATGAAATATTATGAACAACAGAGGATTGTATTTTGTATGTTCTGGAAAAAAAGGAGTTAGGGAGCAACCATTTAACTTCAAGGTGGGTGTTATGGTTTTATGTCTTAGTCAGAATTTTTTTTTAGTTTTTCGACGCTATCAATCAAATTGTTTTTTTTCAAAATTTAACACTATAAGGTATGGGGAAAATCTGGATTCAGAATATTTTTTATGGTTTTATGTCTTAGAATTTTTTTTTAGTTTTTCGACGCTATCAATCAAATTGTTTTTTTTCAAAATTTAACACTATAAGGTATGGGGAAAATCTGGATTCAGAATATTTTTTTTTTTGTCATCTGCTTGACAACAATATTTTTTTCCATCAAATTGGGGATCAGAATATTTTTTTTAGGAAAAAACCATAACCCCCCCCCCCCTTGAAGTTAAATGGTCATTCCCTTAGGGAGGGATATTCATGGGGCAGTATTCTTTTGATTGACAGCAGTCCCATTCTGTAAATTTTGAATTTTTTGCGTGCATTAATTATTGCTATTGGTGAGCAATCAGATAAATGCAAAATTATTTATTACAATTTCAGAAAATATTCTATATAAACCATGCTGATAAATTTAAATGCAAGTTTTTATTTTTGTGAAACCTATTTAGTTGCACCACTCAAGTCTTATATTTCAGAAGGTAGAAAATCTGGATACTCCATAGCTTGTATAAAGATGCCTGTTGTTCTTAAGTTTTTGTCCGACATATGTGAATTGTCCTTGACCTTATTTGTCTGTCAGATATGGTTTGATCTTGTCCTCATTTTCATGGTTCCTTGGTCAATATTTAATTTTCATGGTTTGGTCAGTTTCCCAGATACTATAAGCAATAGGTCAATTATTTTTGGTGCATGGAATGAATGTGATGTGTACAGGTCTGTCTGGCAGGTGTCATCTGACCTTGACCTCATTTTCATGGTTCATTGGTCAATTTTGAGTTTTCGTAGTTACCGGAAGGTCTGTTTCTCAGTTACTACAAGCAATAGGTCAACTATATGAGTACAATTCTTGCCAGATTTTTATAAAACATATACTGTAGGTTAATATCAGCAATATCTCGGACAAGTTCTATAATGGTGGACAATCGACTTTTTTTAAAAGAGTTACGCCCCTTGGAAATATAAAATATGTGCAACGCAGGGGACATTGGAACTTGTTCTTTTATTTATTTGGAATCTATGAAGTTTTCATCAAAAGTTATCATTTCTTATACAAAATAAAATTCTTATATTTTGAAAGATTATTCAGTAATACTAAGAATCCATGATAGATTAAAATAATCCTGATAATACTAGACATGTTTTTAGCATCTGACATGTGTTTCTTTATATAAAAAGAACACCTAAAAATTTGATTTTAAAGAAATCAAATTTATCTCCTGAATAAAATGCCTGTGTCCTTGACTGAAGGAGATGTATTCTGGATCCTTATTAATGTTTGTTTTGTAGATGACCGTAGTACAACCATGACCTGTAGGTCGTTTAAGTCATCTGTTACAGCATATTCTAATTATAATTATTCACAAAGAGGTATCAGTTTGAAGATTGAAGTTATTCCCCCTAAAAATCTGTTGTTTATAATTACATTGTAATCCTTACTGGTGAAACATTAACTGTGTTTGCTTTACCATGTTTTCCCCCCTTTTCCCCCCATGTTTGTACCTTTGTATAAATCCTTATAACTCTTGTCCTAGTGAAAAGTTAACATACTATGTGTATAACATCCTAGACACTTGTTTATATATATACCAGAGTTTGCACCTCTCCTTAACTGAATTGATTGTCACAGCTTGAAAAGATCATAATTTTGGAGAATAACACGGCATTATAATGTAAAAGTGATATACAGTGGTTTTAAGAATAAATCTATTATTTTAACTTACCGTACTGTAAATGCCCAAAAGTTTCTAATAGTATTTAATATTTGCTATTAAAATAAAATGATACCATATCTATATTGTTAATAATTTTTATATATCTGTAAATTAATACTTTATATTATATAAGTATTGCAGTTCCATGTAGTATTTTCTGACCCCTGTGATTGAACAGTATTATTTCATAAATTTTATTTCAGATCAATTAAGATTTGTTTCCCATTACTATGAAGATGACAGAACTGGTCTCAGAGATACTGCAAAGGTATTTTTATTTACTGGTCTCAGAGATACTGCTAATTTATTTATATTTACTGGTTTTAATAAGAGATACTGCTAAGGTATGTGTATTAAGAGGTGTCAGAAATACCATAATGCTAAGGTATGTGTATTGACTTGTCTCCGAGATAATGTTAAGATATGTGTATAGACTGATCTAAGAGATAATGCTAAGGTATTTATATTTACTGGCCTCAGAGATACTGCTAATTTATTTATATTTCCTGGTTTTAAGAAGAGACAATGTTTAGATATGTGTATTTACTGGTCTCAGAGTTTCTGCTAATTTATTTATATTTACTAGTTTAAGAGATACTGGTATTAGGTTTGCATATTGACAGGTATTAGGGATACAGGTAAGATATGTGTACTGACTGATCTGAGATACTGCTTAAGTTTGTGTATTGACTTAGACTGGTGTCAGAGATACTTCTTATGTTTGTGTATTGACTGGTCTCAGAGATACTGCTTATGTTTGTAAATTGACTGGTCTCAGAGATACTTCTTATGTTTGTGTATTGACTGGTCTCAGAGATACTGCTTATGTTTGTAAATTGACTGGTCTCAGAGATACTTCTTATGTTTGTGTATTGACTGGTCTCAGAGATACTGCTTATGTTTGTAAATTGACTGGTCTCAGAGATACTGCTTATGTTTGTGTATTGACTGGTCTCAGAGATTCCAGTAAGGTTTGTCTATTGACTGGTCTCAGATATACTGCTTATGTTTGTGTATTAAATGGTCTCAGAAATACTGCTAAGGTTTGTGTATTAAATGGTCTAAGAGATACCGCTAAGGTTTGTGTATGGACTGGTCTCAGAGATACTGCTTATGTTTGTATTGACTGGTCTCAGAGATACTGCTTATGTTTAGTATTGACTGGTCTCAGAGATACCGCTAAGGTTTGTATATTGACTGGTCTCAGATATATCATTTAGGTTTATGTATTGTCTGGTCTCAGAGATACTGCTTATGTTTGTGTATTGACTGGTCTCAGAGATACTGCTTATGTTTATGTATTGACTGGTCTCAGAGATACCGCTAAGGTTTGTGTATGGACTGGTCTCAGAGATACCGCTAAGGTTTGTGTATTGACTGGTCTCAGAGATACCACTTAGGTTTATGTATTGACTAATCTCAGAGATACTGCTACCATGTAATGATTGGTCTCTGAGTTACAGCTAAGGTTTATGTATTGACTGGTCTCAGAGATACTTGCTACCATGAAATGACTGGTCTCAGAGATACCGCTAAGGTTTGTGTATTGATTAGTCTCAGAGATACTGGTTAAGTTTGTGTATTGACTGGTCTAAAGAATACTGCTTAAGTATGTGTATAGACTAGTCTTACAGATACCATACTGCTAAGATATATGTATTGACTAGTGTCATAGATACTGCTTAGCTATATGTATTGACTTGTCTTATGCTCTAGTATTTGTTTTGAATGGTCTCAGAGATACTGCTAACATAAGTGTATTGACTGGCCTTAGAGATACTGCTAACACATGTGTATTAAATTGTCTTAGAAATACTGCTAACACATGTGTATTAAATGGTCTTAGAGACACTGCAAAGGTTTTGATGGTCTCTTAGTCCTTGTTTACATAAAAAAGCCTCTGACCACCAGAAACATTTGGAATGGTCATACTTTATCTACATTTTTAAAAGCGTCGTGGATTATTAAAAAAAACTGTTTGACTGAAGGAATCCGAATGCACAGTTAACAAAAATATCAGACTACAGCATGGCCCCAAATTATAAAATATTTGGTGTTGTAAAACAGATATATATCAGCTTCCTTCCAAAAGTAGGTCACTTTGTTCTGTGTTTCATCCTTTATTGGAATGCTTGAGTAAAGATACTGAAGACCCTTATATGTTTAAGACACAATGACAGCTTTCCATAAGAATATGAATGTGTCATGATGACACATTCAATGGCATCTCACCAAAGCAATGATCTATTGTGAACATGTATTGCTTCATTTACTTTTTAAACTTTACCTTAGAGATAGACTTTGAAAAGAATAACTATAAATTTTCTTTTGTTTTTCAGGAATATCACCAAAAGTTGGAAAAATCTGCAACAAATGCTAAGAAAACTGTAGAAAGTAGAATTGATCATATAATAAAACAGAATGAGAAACAAGAGGTAAACACTTGAATCTTGTCTTGAGAAGCTTGCAAGAATGGTATCAGATAGGAAACGGTGTGAGAATGTGGATCTTGTCTTGAGAAGGTTGCAAGAATGGTATCAGAAAGGAAACGGTTTGAGAATGAACTATTGAAAATATCAGTGAAAGTCCTTTTTTTTTTCATAAATATAAGGAAATGGTAAAACAATAGTTGTAAAATGGCTGTAACGTTATAAAACAGAAATAAAGGAAATGAGAGTGTTGAAACATCCACCTGTGAAGCTTTCCATCACACTCTTCTGTTTTTTCTATTTGTTCTTTTTATTTGGCTTAAACTCAATGAGAACTTTATGCTATGTTATAGAAACCAGATTAAATTATTTGATATTTTACCAAACCCTTCAAACTGATAAAGTTTTTTCAAGTGATTTAAAATGCTCTCAATCTCTATATGTAATTTCACCTGTCTAGTTTGTATAGGTATGTAGTTTCAACTGTCTAGTTTGTATAGGTATTATATCATTTTGACAGTAGACTATTATTGTAAATATGTACTGTTCCCTTTCTGTAGTATAATGTGGATTGGCTTTTCTTCTTTTGAAATAAACAGTATTTACTTTACCTAACATTTCCTTTAACTTTTAGTTGATAAACTTTTCTCATAATTTAGTGAATTTAAGTAGACTGACATTAAGTAGAGATTATTTTTAGAATAGATAAACATGTATGTATCTGATGATGAATTTAGGAAGGCCAATAGTAACAGTTGTGATAAATATGATTGAAAATTCTATATGCTTTAAAAGAGTAACAGTCTTTGCTGCCACCTTTCATTTTCAAATTTCCACTCTTAAAAATGGCTTCATTCTTTTTTTGACGAGTGGGACGATTCGTGTCGTTTTGACACATCTAGTTTTACCTAAAACAAGCATGATTTTTTTTTTATGATGACTTCTATACTGACCTGATTAATGACAAATATAAATTTCATTTCTAAAATTAAATCATGAATAAATGGTTCTAACAGGTTGTTGTTATTTTGGCAACAATTATACAAAAATATGGCATCAAGTGTTGAACTTAGTTTCAATGTTGATGGTTTGGAGAACTTGTATCAATGTAAATAATCATGCCCTTTTAACTTTGAAGCCTAGATGATTGATACAGGTTCCTGTAAACCTTTTGTACAGTATGTAAAACAGGAAATTATAAACAACTTCAATACAGAATGAACAATGTTCAGCCTCTTGATCAATTTTTGAACTTGGTCAATAAGGAATATTGACTTTCTTCATTATACAATGGAAGAAAACCACTTGTGTTGACTTTCCTGATTGTATAATATAGTGAAATATCACAAACTTTGGAATGTTAAATAGTTGACGATTAAAATATTAAGATGGGTTGTTTCAGTAGCAAAGATGTTGGTAAAATTATTATGAAAATATGTTTGAAAACTATGAAATTCTAAATCAATTGAATAATTACACAAAGTGTTACTAGAAGAAATAGTTGATTTTTATGGAAAATATTATTAATTTATCATTCTCTTTTGTAATGCTTTTATTTTCATTTTAAAGGTAGAAGAAAGGGAAGAACAAGAAAAGTTGGACAAAAAGATTTCTCATCTTGCTGAGAAAACTGAGTCTGTGCTAGATAGTGTTCGTCAGCAAGCCAACGACAGTGTAACTAGTGCTCGAAATTTGAATAGTAGTCTGGAGGAAGAATTCAGACGTGAACGTCAGGATAGACTGAAAAATTATAGATATGGCAATAATAGGGAAAAGTCATGGCTTTTGGAACAAGAGGCGTAAGTAGATAAAAATGTACAAAATAGAAAACTTATTTGTAATTTCTGTAGTTTTATTAGATTTTTAGCGAATTTATTTTTGCTTTTGTCAAGGTACCTATCAAAGCAGAAAAAACAATAATCTGTAAATAGCATTTCATATAGAATGGATATCATTGTGTAATAAAACCAAAAATATAAATACATTACCACAAACATGCAATAAGTAACAAAATACCAAAAAAGAATTTTCATAAACAAGCAATAACTAACAAAAACACAAAAAGAAATGCCTTTTATTAATTAAAATAAATACCAACAAACATGCTGTGATTGGTAAAAAAATATAATCTTTATTTCTAAAACAATCTGTAAAAAATGGGAAAATCAACTGGAAGAATGAATTGCTGAATCATATAAATCAAACTTAAATCTATGAATATATTATACTTCAACCTGTGAGTTTGCTATTGACCACTGTAACAAATTTTGGGACTACAAAGCTTGTAGACCAAACTATTTGAATATAGTGTAGCTTAATGTTTGATTAATGCCTTTAAGTGCTATTTATAGAATAATGTTGTGTTGAGCATGGACTTTTCAAAAATAGTAGCAAAGGTTGAAGATATAGGGCATGTACTAACTTACTTACTTAAACACACTATTCTCAAAATAATTTATTTTTACTCTATGCAAAAATAAAGAATTTTAGATATCAAAGAACATTCTTACAGCAAGTATAATAATTTGAACAAATAATTTGATAATAAAGGGAATATGTTGTGTTGCATTTCTATTGGTACTCAGTATATAACTCACTATCTGTATTAATATTGATTTTGGTAGGAAGTCTAATCTTTACTGGATCAAATTTAAGTTTGCAGAGCTGAAATACTTTTTAAAACATGTATTTTGAAATTGAATTTTAAGGCAAGTGCTTTATTTCTTTTTGGTAGAAAACTCAATAAGCTACATTAATACTGGATTTTATTTAAGAAAAAGAAGTAAGGAAGGCAAAATTAATGCCATGCAGGAGAAACAACAAATTTTGGCTAAACAAAAGCAGCAACATTCAGATTTTCAATTTTGATACATGTATATTAAAGTGAAAGCCTGGTAACTTATTTATTTATTTAAACTAACCAGATGTTAACGTCCAAATATTATCATCATTTCAGAATGGATAGCAGACAATCAAGAATGGACGAACATGAAAAGGAAAGGAAAGCAAAACATAAAGAGTGGATGAGAAAGAAAGATGAAGAATCAAGAAGGAAATTAATGAGGGTTTATGGACCAACACCTGTATTTGATACATGTAATTTATTTGTATCCTCTTTATACCTGATCAGTAATGTAATGTTTATCCTGTTCATCTAGTTTATCCAAAGACATTTGTATGTATTGTTTCTAAACTTAATATGGTGATCTAAGAGTAGGAGTAAGTAGTAGCTCAGCATAACAATTCGGGGTTTGATGGTGTTACCACATTATACTGGCATAAAAGGCCTTGACAATATTCTGGTGAATATGTTGACATCTATTGTAAAATGACTTCAGCTGGTTACCTATCACACAAGTCATGTGCAAAATTCACAAGGTTTAGTTTCTTCTGTTATGATTGTGATGTTTATCCAATTTGAGTGTTTAATCTTACAACTATGGTTTATCCCACTTTCAAGATTATTTGCATGAGATTTAGAAATGTTTGGAATTTAAATATAGTACAGTTTGTCAACTTCTTAAATATCCTTTTTTTCATTTACAATAAAAAGTACCATCTTTATGAAATTTTTTTCTGTATAATTACTTTCTGTTGTTTCAGCTTTATCCAAGAGAGGTGCACCATTTAAAACATCAACACCCAAACTTTTGAATAACTCCTCTAGAGCATCTCCACGACCTAAGTCAATGGCGTCATCCATGTCTACATCAAGGTCACGACCTCAGGACCAAGAATTGGAGGTCCATATGACAGAATTTGGAATGAGAAGGGTAAAGACAGAAGACTGCTCTTTTGGTATGCATGATTAGTATGCTTAACTAATAGCATGAATGACCTATTATATCAGGTCATTTGGCAGAGAATTGTTCTAAATATGGTAAAAGTATTGATTTTTTTATCTTTCTGTTTAAGACATTTGCCAAATTTCAGGAAAATTCTTATTTGTCTGGATTATATCTATAAAATTAAACAATATATGAAAAATTTGATGTTAAAAATTTCAAAAAATTTGAAACTGCATTTAAAATCAGTTCTCTTTACCATTTTCTAGTTATGCATTTTGTTATTTATTTGGTTTAAATGAGACATATATAAAAAAGAGTCTACATTCAGCTTACTTTAAACAAAGGGTCCAAAGGACCTGGTTGACCTCTGTTATAATTGTTTCTGGCAATATGGTTTACTGAAAATCAGAATGATTTATCCCAGACTTCAAAGGAATGAAGATTTTACTTGGGTTACATCAACCACCAGTAAGGGCACTTAGCATGAAATAAAGAACTTGATTATAAAACAGATTCATGAGGGGGAAAAGATAAGGATTTTATCTTACTGAAAACACATGAAATGATACATATTAGATTTTGTGAAACAAATAGCAGAATAGCAGTTTTTAAGCAAGTGAACATGGTAATGTACAATAAATGAGTGTCAAAACTTTACTCTGTCAGATTTGTCAAAACTTTACTCTGTCAGATTTGTCAAAACTTTACTCTGTCAGATTCAAAGTGAAATCACAACTCCCTAGGAATTTGAAGTTGTGTGAGCCTTGTTATAAAATCAGCTCATTTTATATTTGAATATTAATCTGCAATGTTTAATTAAAATGTTTGCAAATTCAAATATATTGAAAGATGTTGGACAGTTGTACACTAGTTTTTGATCAACATACTAGAATGTTAACACATTTATAATTAATTGTACATGGAATTATGTAGGCTGAATGGATTGCGTGGAATGTTATTGACTTGTTTTAATTGTTTTATTCTAAGATTTTTTACAGGAAACAATGAGGTTAAGATATAATGCTTTTGTATCATTCTATTGCTGCTTGCATTTGAATATATATACACTATATACTTTAATTAGTTAGTTGGCATGCAAAAATGGGGTATTGTATTAGAATTTAGAATCCAGCTACACTATATATGAATTAGTAAACTATTATTGCTTAAAAGGTTAACACTTACATCCATTACTAGTACAATTTAGTTAAAAGTTATTATTACGTGAAATCATCTATGAATAATGAAATTTTAATTAAATTATTTGTAATTCAATTTAAGAAAAATTGACATCATTTAAACAATGAAATTGTTTGTATAATTTTGCATGTACAAATTAGTATGGGTATGAATTTTAGATATAATATAAGTATAACATTCAAGATTTTTTTCTTGTACCCAATAGTGATATGGGCTATAAACTTATATACAAGGGTCAATGCATTAATTCAAATGTTATACCTATTAACAATAAATTGAAATTATTTATTTTACAAATTACTTAACATTTTACAAATTACTTAAACACACAATATACTCCTTAAATTGATAAATAAAATTGTTGTCCGTGGTCATATCGACCAATTCTTTACACATATATTGAAATAAGAAAGCATTTAAATTTTTCTTTCTATAGTTTATGTTGACAGAAGTCATTCCTAGTGACAGAGCTATATTTGCCACAGCCTTCAATTATTATTAGGTATATAATAGATATTTAAATGCAAGCAGTGTAGTTGTGTATGGTAGTTAGTACATGTAGTTTGCTTGAAAATTTAAATTTAAAATATATAGTTGATACAATAAAAAATACTGGATTTATCTTTATTCACGATGTCCATTAACATTATTTCAGATTTTTATTTAGGATTTGCATATTTGCAAACCAGCTTACAGTTTATTTCTCAAAATTTCAGTTTGTTGTTTCTTAAAACTGAATCATAAGATGACAGTAAACAGTTTGATTTTTATCAAATAGTGACCATAGTTTTTATGAAAGCTGTATTTATAGAAATGTATTCCAGAAAGTTATTTAAAAAATCTGAAATTTATGAATTTGACACCAAAAATGTAATTTGTTAAGGGTTATTCTACTTCCTGATACAAGTACCAGTTTTACTGAATTATAAAGTAATGAGAAGTATATATACCTTATTTGTTTCATTTGATATTTAAAAAAAAAATAATTAAGTTTATATGAAATACGGAACATCTGTAGGCCTCTTAACTTGAGATATACTTGTAACTTATCTCCAATATAAAGATGAAATATTTGTAGATTGAAGTGACAAATAATTATTAATATTTTTCTCACTTTTCCTGATAATTATAGGGAACCTGAGTAGGACTTACTGAGGATTCATTTATATTCTTGGTTACCAATTTTCATGGATTGAGGAACAAAATGGATATTTGATTCTGTGGTTTTTACAAATTCTGCATACAAATCTATAAAAAATTTGAATTTGGTTGAATGGTGGAATTTAAGGTTTACATAAACCCACAAAATCCGCAAAAAATTAGAAGACATGAAAATATTAGTCCTTAGTATTCATGATAATTATGTTTTAGAGTCAAGCTGAGGATTTCATAGTGACTTTTGAAAAGGGACTCAGGATCAAATATATTAGGTTTAGCAGTTTTTATATCCCTATCACCAGAAATTTTGAATGTACATATTTTTTTTTTAGTCATAGTAACTTTATGATATAAAATTTTAAAATCATAAAAATGTCATCCATTATTCCTTTGGATTTAGTCTGGAACTTTCTTTATTAATAATCCATATAAATCCAGAGTTTTGTTACTTGTCAAACCTTAGTAACATTGTAACCAGTAAGACTATGCTTAACAAGATCATGTTTATAATTACAGCTAAAATGAGCACACCAAAATCACGTTCCTATATGAGACCTGCGGGTGTATTACCAGGTACAAATCATTTATATGCTGTCACTGCTAGCACAACCTAACATTAGCTTTCTCTGTAACCTTGCTTGTAGCTATCTTTGTTGATAATTCTGTCTTAAAATTGATAAACAATGACTTTATAGTGTTTATGCAGTGGGGTATCAATGGTAGGAGGGTCATACATGTTTACATTACATACTTTCTAAGTAATAAGAGCAGGTCGGTTTTTCAGAAATCTTGTGATGTATTGCAGTGTTATTTTCTCAATGCTGTTCATTTAAGTCACAATGACCTACATTTTCATCTTCAATGATTTTGTTTTTCTGTGTAGAATCACTTCCAAAGCTAAAAGAACCCATGATGATATATACATGTGTTTTAGGTAGGTCTTACAGTCAATTTCATACAGACCTATAAGTAACAGTTATTAGGTTGTCTGCATATTGATACTGTAAAATATCAGCTGTGAGTCACAATATGAAGCTTTTTGGCAAGTGATTTCAGCAAATGAGCTTACAAGACTAAATATTGTATACAGCAACTGATATTTACAGTGTCTACTTGAGCAAAATCTAATAACAATTTATCAGCTTTTATTGATGCCGTTTTCAAGAATGAAACAATATTTTTAGTTTCCATTCTCTTACTTTAGTTTGCCTCAACCAAATGTTATGAAACTTATACACAATGCATATTCCACAAAAAAACAGATCAAGATTGAATTTGAGTGGCGTCACTTTTACCGTTCTAGAGTTATGTCCCTTTACAAATGGAAAATTACTGAATTTTTCATTTCCATTCTCTAACTTTAGTTTGCCTTTTAACAAATGTTATGAAAGTTATACACAATGCTTATTACCACAAAACTCAGATTGATTTCGAATTTGGGAGGCATCCCATTTACTGTTCTTGAGTTATGTCCCTTTATAACATTATATGCAAGCGGGGGCACCATCTGTGTCCCATGGACACATTCTCCATTTATTTTCTTTCGTTTACTATCCAACCAGAAGAGACTTCAGAGTTTCAGAAAAAAAAGAATTATCAAGGTCAGGTCAAATATTATGACGTTGGTGATAAGTCCAGGTCAAAGTTATTAAGGCAGGGTCAATTACGATACATCATGGTATGGGATTTTACTAACTGAGCAGAGTGATATAGGTGCAGTGATATGGTATTTCACTATTACAATCCTTTCAGCTAGTAAAGAATATTCAATCACTTTTGGTCAACATGGCATTAGATAAGTTTTACCTCTAAGACACACTGATCTATATTGGGGGGACATCCATGTCCTTCAGCCATATTGTCTAGTTTTTGTCCCACTTTGAGACGATAGTCATTGAAGTGAAAAATGAGATGTGCTGTTTTAGTGCCAATGAATAATTGTTCCTCCTAACAAAAGTTCCTCTGAAAACTTATAAACAATGCTATAATATCTGTGTTCCTGTTGGAACAAACATTCTGTACACTTTATTCCCTAAGGAACAAATACTATAATATTTCTTCCATTGGAAATAATATTCCAGAATATTTCTTACTTTTGGATCTAATATTATATAGGAACTTCTATTCCATGACATCTTGAGTAAGCATTGGCAGCATTAACAATTGTTAAAGTTTAGGTTAGGTTACTTACACAAGTGAGCTAGCTATCTCTGTGTTAACAGTTTATATGTTGGTTTATTTGACTTTGCTAAACCAAATACATATAATAATAACGTGTACAAAAGTACTTCATTTAATGAGACAATTATAAGTGGAAGGATGGTTTTGAAAAGTATACAATTAGTAGGAAAAAATGATAATGTATTAGATGTCAGGTACATTTGGACCAAATTTTCTGTTATCATTCAAAATGTAAACAAGTGTCATGAAATGTTGACATAAACAACATCCACCTTGAAAAACAAAAATTAATATTGTCTCATCAAAATTTTAAATGCTTAGTTTCATTCATTAACGGATTATCTCATTAACCAATTTACTTTTGTGAAAAAATCATTTTTACCAGGAATATTGAAATTACTTGTTAAAAATTGTTCTGAAAGCAATATTTTACAAATTTCAATATCAATTTTTATTAGGGAGCACTTGAGGCTTTTTATATCTAATATTCAATGTTTTTTTCTAATAATTTAGTCTTACAAACATGATGGAATGTTACAATAAGGGTATAGTATTTTGGTATAGCACATTGGGATTTTCATAGTGCTTTCATATGTAGTATTAGATCAGACTTGAATTATCTGCTTTCAAACTTGTAGTATTTTTTTCATCTTTTTTTAAATACTATTTTTAATAGATTATAGTAAAGGTGGGTGCTGCTTGGTAAGAAGAAAAAAAAAACCTCATTAATATCACTAACAAACATGTCAGATCAGTGGAATGTAAAAATAGATGGGGAATTATATTTTAATAACATTGTTCAAAATTAAGTTAGATGGAAGGTTCTATACATTAAGGACGACGGGTCCAAAACATTTGCTATGGAATTATTCAGCGTTTCTTTCAAAGATGTCCAGTAAGGCCCTTAATGTCACATAATACCATATTGATTTTTCAGACTATACTAAAGATTTTTGTCTCCTGCCATTTCATAGTTCAAACCACTACCAAATAGTATTATTCTATGAAATACACATGGAATTGATGTGTTTGTCTTATCCAGTCACTCAGTTCTTACCAGAGAAGTACACATGGAACTGATGTGTTAGTCTTATCCAGTCACTAAGTTCTTACCAGAGAAGTGAAAAATAAGAGAAATTGATATTTAATTTCCACTGATTTGACAAAAGTAATAGAATATTGAAAAAATAGCATGAAATTATACAAAATGCAGTTAAGCAGAAAGTCAAAAAGGCTAACTATGTTTAATATATACACGTGCTGTATTTAAAATGTATTTTTTATAGATAGCAAACACACTGCAGTAGATCTTCAATATAATGAACATAGTATTTCAGAATCCACATTCAAAACAAAAAATAGTTAAAGAATGTTTAAAACAAAAAAATCTTGTAATTGAATAAAGAAAAAATGCTTGAAAGGATTCTTTCTGGTATTCATAATATTGATGGTTTAAACAAGGTAGTACTTGAAGTTGTAATCATGCTTAAAATGAGCAAAGTAGATGTATGACACTTATATTATAAATGACTTGAAATGAAATTCAAATATTCAGCAAATATGGAATAGAATTGATAAATTGCAAATGTAAGTTTCATTTGAATGAAAGATTCCCAGGAAAGTATATCTCCTGTAGTTCAAAACATTATATTGTTTTAATAGTAAAATTTTCTATTCCGAAGATATTTTTGCCTTCTAGTATATTTAGTTTTTCCAAATGTTTTATGACATTTTCACGAGATTTACTGGTGTTGTTACCTAATTTCTAGGAAAAAAATATAGGCTAATAAAGAAATATGTGAAACTGTGAGTAAAAATCAAATACTTGTAGATGGATATTTCTCTTTGGATGGGATAGTTTTATTCTATTGGTGAAGGCCATTTTCAGATGAAAAGCTTCTATTTATCTGGAACTCAACAAAAATTTGGGGGAAAATGAAATAATTAGACTTCATTTGCATTGTATGGTATTTGAAAACAAAACCACACAATCAATATACAAATATACCATTTCGAAATCTTTTTGTGAGGAAAAGTCTGTAAATTTAAGTTGTAACTGTAAAATCTCAAAGAAAAATTTAAACTACCATAGGCTGTTTACTTCTTTAAAAGTATGTATTTCAATGTTCTTTCCAAAAATACTGAAATTTTGATCTTTTTAAAATTTCTTAATTAATTGGTCAATTGTAGCCTATTTACTCCAACTATTTATTCTATCACTTTTATACATGTGTATGGGGTCGTCATGCTATGCACCTTTTCAAGCTAAGCTTATATATGCATGGATTTAGTTTGATTGTAAACTACACACACTTGGAACAATGAATATTGAGCTTTGTATGTGAAAGTATGAATATTTAAAATTTTATGTCAATTAAGAAAAAAAGCCATGCAAAACTGCAAACAATGAATATCCTATTCCAGGTTAATGCTGAAAAATGCTTCAAACCCAGCAAACTTTGGACATTTAATTTTGTCCTCAGTATAGGGAAGCAGCCAGGTTCTGATCCCTGCAGTTATTGATCCCTTATTTTTTTTCTGTCTGCAATTTGTATTGGCAACTCCTAACTCTTCTACCAGTAAATTTTCAACAAAATTACTTGTGACATTTTGTGCTTCTTCTTTCAATTTCTGATCAAAATTATTTTTGAGGTTTCTTATAACAAAACATAGAATTCCTCATATCTACAAAAGGAGGAAAGGCATTTTGTAATTGAAACTTTTCTAAAACTGTTCTGGATTTAAGTGAAACGTTCAAAGAATCTTTATTACCTAATCACTTTATGGCATTGTGCAACTTCTATTTATTTCTTATCTGAATACTTTTGGAGGTTTCCCACAGAAAACATGGATTTTATGGAATAAAAAAATGTGGAGGGAGGGAGTTATGATGAGTGAGCTTTGGTCACAACTTTTTTTACTATCACTATTGGAATTGTAAACTTTTAGTCTGTGATGGTATTAGGAGTGTATGTTTAGCACTAAGTCGTGATGTATCACATATCTATAGAACAATCTTCAGTTGATATAATTTTTGACAAGTTGATCTAGGACAGACAAACCTAATCTCTTTGGGTCTTATTTAAATATATAGATCCCATGTAGGTAAACAAACATTAAATACAATTTTTATGGATTTCGTGGGTATAGGTTAACCACGAATTTAGAGGTTCAACAAAGTAAGTTTCTATAGGCTTGTATGCAGAAGTTGTCAACAAAGTAAGTTTCTATAGGCTTGTATGCAGAAGTTGTCAACAAAGTAAGTTTCTATAGGCTTGTATGCAGAAGTTGTCAACAAAGTAAGTTTCTATAGGCTTGTATGCAGAAGTTGTCAACAAAGTAAGTTTCTATAGGCTTGTATGCAGATGTTAAAAAACCATCAAATCAAATATGCACGAAAACACAATTGCTGTTCAGTCCAGGAAATTTAGTATTTACGAAAATAAATGAATTCACAGTAATTCAGAAAAATCCTTCACATGTAGCAGAGGTTTGTTTTTGATTTGATAACATTAAAGGTGCTGGATATCTTCGGTGTATATAGCTATAAAATTGAGAATGGAAATGGGGAATGTGTCAAAGAGATAACAACCTGACCAAAGAGCAGAAAACAGCCTGAGGCCACCAATGGGTCTTCAACACAGCGAGAAAAACCCACACCCGGAGGTAGGCTTCACCTGGCCCCTAAACAAAAATGTGTACTAGTTCAGTGAAAATGGATGTCACACTAAACTCCGAAACATATAAATGAACAAAAATTAGATCAGATTTTTAATGTGAAATGAAGAATTCTTTACTATATTAATTTTATATTATGGACTATCATGTCTCTATTGCATACTTGAAAAAGGGCAGCACATGGATAGAGACAATTCATGCTGTATGGGAATGCATGTACATTCATATATCATATTTTTTCATCAACACAGAATAAGAACCGTATGATTGAAATCTTTGTTCACACACATTTAAACATTGAAAGTCATTCTCTCATTTTGAAGAAGCTTACAAGATGCCATTTTCATATTTTGATAATTTTCTCATACTCTACTGTACATTATTATATTAGAATTAATTTGATACTTTAAAAAAAACAGCATTGAAAGAACTTTACGACATTGAAATTAAAATATAAAATTGTATCTTTATTTTAGTGTTTATTTTTTGTAAGTGTATTATGTATGCAGCTGTCACTGTAAATTTTTATTTCAACAGCTTAATATTTTTGGTTGTAACAGTAATCCAGTATTTTATTATAATGCTATACTTATGTTATGAAGACACATGTATGATTTGTAGGAAGAGGGTATTGGTCATGAAAATGAAATGTTTATGTTAGTAATCAACCTTTGACAGCTAGATAAAGACACAATCTCAGGAGATCTTTTGTGAATTTTTATTGAAAACTAGTAACTATCTTTTTATAATTTCAGCCAATTGGACTCCAAAGTATGATGGTATAAACCTACGACCACGAGCTGGACTAGTATTTGTTGAACCGACGGTCTATGATGAAGTGCTTAAAGAAGAAAGATTGATCCGAGGGGGTCAAACAAGAAACTCTACAAGAAATTTAACTTTAGAAACAGATAAAATGTTAGAAACTGTAGAATCGTGACAAAGGCAGACATAGTTTTCTATTAAAATAATTTCATTCATTCCATTTCATATAATTCTTTCAAACTAGATTGTTATTTATGATTCTCACAAATTTTTATCATGAAAAGGTGTTGTGTAATAATTGTCTTGGAATAAATTTAATTGGAAGAAGCAAAAAGTCTGTTAAGAAGTGAAACATGTCATTGCAAGGAAATACTCAACAAATGTTTAAAAAATGTTAAATGTGTATTCCAGTCACAAGAAATTAAAGTGGATTGTCTCCCATTACCTTTGTGCTTAGTTAATAAAAAGGTCTAATACCTCATTAGGATTATCAGACTTCTTCACATAAAAAGTCTTGTATTGAATTTGAATACAATAATTTTCATAGTTTTCTTTGATAGGCAAACTTAAACACTAATAGTTAGTAAATGTCACTTGTTAAAAGAGTTTTAGTGATTGTTGTTACATTTTGTTGGTATTCATTTATGTATGCATCTATCCATAGTTTGTTTTTGAACTATGTAACCAGTTACTAAATTTCAATTTAAATTTAGGAGAACCTAATGATATTTTGAACCTCCTATTTAATTTTGATTTAAATGATTTTTGGTGTTTCTCTTGATAAATCATGGACTGTGTCATTTTATTACAAAATTGAGAAAGCATCTTGTAACTACTATTGCTTTTTCACCCAAACCACTGACTGCATTTTTATTTAACTTTAATAGAAACTTTAATACATAATGAAATTGATCATCTTTTTTTTTAATGTCTCTAGGTTTCCCATAGCACACATAACTTTATAATCTACACAAATGGGGAATAGGGAATATGAATATATTCTCACTGTTCACAGTTTTCAATTTGATACAGTATTGCTTTTTCCTTATATTCAGCACTGATTGAAATAATTGTCACTATTTAAGTTGATATATGTTTTTAGAATAAATGTGACTTTCTTCAATTGTGTCAGTCTGTGATTTTTTGTGATCCCTCGATTTGCTTTTTGGAGCAACAACAAAAATAACACCTATTAAGGATTTTAGCTTTAGAAAATTAAAAAAAAACACCATTTGAATAAAAAATAAAGTATTTCTCAACAGAAAATATATTAAACATCAAAATTATCCCAAAACATTCAAAAATCTATGTGCCTTTTGTAGCTACATGAATTTTAAAAACCAGAATTTGCCAAGATAAGTTTTCTTTCTATATACCTCAATTTTCTTGCCAAATGAACAAGTGGAGACAATCTTGGTTCTCCTAATTTTGTGTTAATGTATAATCAATATGTATTTGCTAATATGACTCTGTTTTAAAGATTTAACCTTTTTCTGCTCAATGTTTTGTAAATGATGTTGTGTAATTAGAAATGTGTATGAATTCTTTTATCTAAATTGATTTGAAAAACTTCATTCATCTTTAGATACACAAATTACTTGTCAGTAATTTAAAGCATAGCTGTGATATATAATTTGTTTGTTTTGTTTTTCATTCATGTGATAAAAATATTCCGTCCAGTTCTATGTGATAGTTTTAAACAAGAAATGTTTTGCTTGTGAAATGTTTAGTTTTATGCTGCATAGCAGTACATGTATATTGCTCTTGTTGTTTTGAATTTTCCTAAAATCAGTAAAATGGTCCTATGACAGCATTTTTATTTGATACATGACAATCTCTTTTGTACGATATTGATAATTCATATTTAATTAATGAAAATTTTAATCTATATCGTTATTTATATTAATAGTTCTCTTATAAACTAAAAATTCATAATAATGGTACCATTCATCTGATTAAAATGCAAATAAATAACAATTAGTTTCTCAAGAAACACAATCAAATATGATACTATTATTCTTTTTTTCACAAATTAAAATCCTAGTATTAATACTTGTGTTAAAAGATCAGAACTAGTATATAATGATTTTTATGAACTGTTGCCATAGGAATCAGTAACAATGCCATAGATTGAATGCTAGCTCCATCTTGTTTCTTTTACTCTTGTTGTTACGTATAATGATAAACTATTGTTATTATTTTGAGTCTGCTTTGTAACGCTCTTCAAAATAATGATTATCAATGAAACAAATGATAAAGAAAAGCTTAAAGATTTTTGCTATTCAGATTTTATACAAACATTTTTAATAAAATAAGATTTAGAGATATATTGACAAAATGAGTGGTTATACAGCAGAGAAAATTGTGTATTGTGTGGTGAGGAAACATATACACAAAAGTTTGAGCATGTGCTTTGAAGGAACTACATATTGATAACAATCAGATAAGTGTTTCAAATTTTTAAATTGTGACATGGCCTTGATTTATACTGTTGTTTTGTACTTGAACAGTTCCTTTTTCTAGTTGTTATAGTTAATAATGGAGTTGTTATATGTTTCAATTAAAATGGCTGAATTGAAACTGTAATATTGCTTTATATGTTTTACTTATTGATACAAGTGACTACACTGTTATATATTGGTTATTGTTAAAGGCTTTACACACAGCACAACATATAGTTACAAAGTAGTATTATATTGTATAATGCCAAATCAACAAGACAATAAAAATAATGTATTTTTACAATTCTTTATTTGTCTATAGCAGCCAAGCACGTCTCTCCGGGTGCGGGAATTTCTCGCTGCATTGAAGACCTGTTGGTGACCTTCTGCTGTTGTCTGTTCTATGGTCGGGTTGTTGTCTCTTTGACACATTCCCCATTTCCATTCTCAATTTTATACTCTAAATGGTAGATTGGTTTGGGGGAGAGGGATGCCTTTCTCTCTGGTCTAATCAGGTTGTGATACTTAAAAACAAGAGCCATGAACAATATTAAGTAACATGTGGAGAGTGCCAAATTCATTGCTTACATTATAAAAAATAAAAAGACCTGGTATGATGGCTAATGAGACAACTCTCCACCAGAGACCATTTTTCTACTATAGGTCACCATACAGCCTTCAACAAGGACTAAAACCCATACCACATGGCATGGATTTCATGCTTTCATGCATGTCAATCACTATCCAACTCTCCAAATATTTCTTGTTGCAGTCATATAAGATCTATTTGTGTGTGCAGTCCCACTCCTTCTTTTACTCTATTTTCCTTTTAGATTGATTTTATATCCTCCATTTTATGTTATGTTCATTATCTAGTTATGTAGCCTTTTTGTGCTGCTGGGGCATAAAACATCATCAGTCAATCAGTCTTAAAAAGATTCAAGCAATAGTGTTTCTTTCCGATTTGATATTCCCTTGGAGTTCGGTATTTTTGTTATTTTACTTTTTTCTTTACTATTTGGCATTCACTCTGGTCTATAATGGATATCAGTTGCTAGTATGAAAATAAAACGATGTTGTATGATTGCCAATGAGACAACTCTCCACCAGAGAACAAATGACATAGAAGGTTAGCAACTAGTTTATTTAAAGCAATTAATTTAATAACATTTTGTAATCTTAATTTCACTTTTCATTTGATTGAGCCATAGTTTACTGGGGTAAACATTCATGCAATCAAAACCATTATGTGGCTGGCTTGATAGTTAACAATTTTACAGACTTATTCACTAGCTACTTTTGACATAAAAAAAAAACATTGTGCATTGAGCCCATCATTCTCTACCCTATCCATGAACATTTCAAAAAATTTATCAATGAAATATATACTCAGATATGCAAGTTACAAACTGATGTGTTGTGTTTATGTATAACCATACTTGTGTCATGATTGAAAAAAGACAAAGATGGATAAATAAAGAAAAATTATTAATTATAGGAAACATTTTGTCTAACATGTTTACAATTTACAAACATTAGCAATGATATTCATCATAATAATGTCTTTTCATTTAAAACAGAAGGCTGCCAAATTACAGCAAATTAGTTTAAATGTCAAAATCAAACTTGAGCTCCATTTTTTTCATCAGTAACAATATATGAAAATTTGAAAAGCATGGGAAGAAGAGTTATCAAGTACGTGCACAGAAACAGCTGATGCTGCCTGCCCGATACTAATTTAAAATTAATAACTAATAATGAATTTTGGATCAGAAAACCCAGTTAAAAATTAAATTTTATCATGGCTATTCTAGAGATTGATAAGGAGTTCCATTAAAAAAGGTGTACAACCATTTTCATCTAAAATCAGTCATAGGGGCAAGTTGTTGAAACCTAGGTGAATTTAACTTAAATATTTTAGCAACAATTTACGTTCATGACAAATTTTAATGATTAATTACTATCGCTTATTTAGACAATTTTAAAAGAAAAGAAAGGAAAAATTTGAACAAATTTAAAGAAATTTTCTGCCTTGTCCATTATGTTTAAAGACTATTATAACTATACACAGATCTTTTGGTAAAGAAAAAAAAATCCAGCCTTTTTACATGGACTGCAGGAAAAACTTCATGAATGTGTTTTTTACACAAAACATTTAAAGTACTATTTAGGATTTGTAATTGATTTACCAAGCATGGGCATGGAAACATTCTTTTTCGCATGCAAAACTCCAATATATCCAAGCCCCTGCCTTGTAAATAATTAACAAATCCTAATTTGTATTGTAAATATAACTTGTCAAGAAAATTACATAAATTGTTAAAGTAATATTTTGAATTGGAGTTATCTTCCTTTGGTCATAATTTTGTCTCCAATGCTTAAAGGGGCATTAGCTGTCAAATTCATGTTCACTGATTTGACTCAAATTCTCATATTTAATTTATAACCTACTAAAACGTATAGGTATCCAACTTACAAAAAGTATAAAATGAATAATTAATAATGCATGGACTCGATAAAATGTATCCATATTTCGTGTGTATTTTAGTCTAGACACCATCTAATTAACCACTAGACCTCCGAAGACTGCCGACAGTCATATAACCCGATATAAACATAAATCTGATATAAATAGATAGCGAACGCATGCAATTGGATTTTTCTAGGTCTGTTTGATTTCATATTATAGGTTAAACAAATATGTTAATCATCGTTTTTACCTGTATAAGAATGAATTTTTGTAGATCGAATCAGTCAACCAAATGATTTACTCTTGTTTCACTTTCAATATTGACATTCTTTCCTTTTAATAGCTGAACACACCTAGTTCATGTGTAACCCATCTCTAGCTACGGAGTTTAACAAAAGGTCACATGAATACAGATTCAATGAGGTCGAATTATTCACTTGCAAGTGAACAATTCATCAGCGATATTTCTTAGCTTATTTTGACAAAATTTAACCAACCTGGTCGCTAAAAGCGAATTATTATTTCACTATTTCACTTTCATAAATGATTGAAAAAAAAAAAATCAATATTTTAATACAATGCAATGTTTATTTTTTTAGTACCCACTACCCTTCATTGCTCACAAATACATTTTAATATAGATCTCTTAGTGGAAACACTGCTTGTATCTCTCTTTATGTCTTCAGTCTGTTATCCTTTTGTTGTCTTCACTGCTTGTATCTCTTTTTACATCTTCTGGTCTGTTATCCTTTTGTTGTTTTTATTGTTTGTATCTCTCTTTATGTCTTCTGTCATTTATCATTTTGTTGCCTTCACTGCTTGCATCTCTCTTTATGTTTTCTGTCTGTTATTCTTTTGTTGTCTTCACTGCTAATATCTTTCTTTATGTCTTCTGTCTAGTTATTATTTTCTTGTCTTCACTGTTTGTATTTCTCTGTGTGTCTGATTCTGTTATCCTGTTGTTGTTCTCAATGTTTGTTTCTCTCTTTATGTCTGCTGTTTGTTATCCTTTTCTTGTCTTCACTGTTTGTATCTCTCTTTATTGTCGTCTGTCTGTTATCCTTTTCTTGTCGTAGCTGTTTGTACCTCTCTTGTTTGTCTGATGTCTGTTATCCTTTGTTGTCTTCAGTATTTGTTTCTCGCAATATGACTGATGTTTGTTATTATTTTGTTGTCTTCAGTGTTTGTTTTTCTCGCTGTATGTCTAATGTTTGTTATCCTTTTGTAGTCTTCACTGTTTGTATCACTCTATGTCTTCTGTCTGTTATGCCTTTGCCATTTGCTGTCCCAAGTCTGTTATCCTTTTGTTGTCTTTTGTCTTTTATCTATTTGTTGTTTTCTGTCTGCTAGCCTTTTGATGTCTTCTGCCTTTTATCCTTTTGTTGTCTTCTCTGTTTGTTACATTTCAGTACGGAGTTATGTTTTTTAGATAATCACATCATATCTAGTTCTCTACAGTTTATTTTTCAAATCTGGCTTTTTTCCCTTAATATATATTTCTTCCATTGTTTGGTTGTAAAATCACTAATTCAGGGCGTACCAAAAAGGAGTAAATAATTAAAACGAAAAAAGTTCCTTGAAACAATTGTAACATTTAAAAAATGAAAAAAAATGGGTAATTTTTATATTAAATGAAAGCTTAAGGCTGTTGGTTTTTGAAGAACCCTTGCTGAATGATGGTGTTAATTATGAAGAAATTGTATTAAATTGAAAAAGGATGGCATGTTTTGCCTGATTACTAGATTTAAAGAACTGTTTTTATGTGTCCAACGTTCAAGTACCAGTGCACTGAAATACAATTAAAGGTATAAAAATAAGAAGATGTGGTATGATTGCCAATGAGACAACTCTCCACAAGAGACCAAATGACACAGAAATTTACAACAATAGGTCACCGTACGGCCTTCAACAATGAGCAGAACCAATACCGCACAGTCAGCTATAAAAGGCCCCAAAATGACAAATGTAAAACAATTCAAACGAGAAAACTATCAGCCTAATTTATGTACAAAATAATGAACGAAACACAAACATGATACACAGCAACAAACGACAACCACTGAATTACAGGCTCCTGACTTGGGGCAGGCATATACAGAATGTGGCGGGGTTAAACTAGTTTGAAAACGCCACCCCCCCCCCCCCCCCCCCCACTAACCTAGGACAGTGGTGTAACAGTTACAACATAAGAACAAACTATAAAAATCAGTTGAAAAAGGCTTAACTCATCAGATGGATACAAATATAGAAATACATCTAACCAAAGCATAGAGGGGACGTGAAAGGATACTTTTACATCCCCACAACAAAAACGGTAAGTGCAGATCTGAGTGTACTTTGTTATTGACAGCTAGTTCAAAGCCAATAACAACTAATAAAAAAAATGCATCTAAGACTAAAATATCAATCAGTACATATCCAATGGATTTAGTGTAAAGACGTCATTAACAGTCAGAGAAAAACATGACCTTGTGCAATGCCAAGATACAGGTATCGACAGATTGTAGAGCCATGAATGTTCATATGTATATAAAAATAATATTTAGTTTGATTTTAATTTACTGATAACAAAATCAATACTAATACTAATAAAAACAATATTCAAAGATCTAATCACACTGTTGAATTGGTAACCTTTTAGAATAAATTTATTTAAAGGATCGATAAGTTTACATGGATCGTATCTAAATGTTCGGGCTCGGTAAACAACATCTCCGTAAAAAATTAGGATGTGCTATCCCGTTTGAAATAAGTTTTCCCAGGCTACAGGAACAACCAAACTTCAAAACCAAAACTTTATATCTATGGAAGAATTTAAGTAAAGGTTTTAAGTA